GTTTCAGCAATTTTTCAAAAGTCTGGGTCCATGTTTCTTCCAAGACTCACAGCAAACTCTGATCTGTGAGCCTACGTGGAATTTAAAAAGAAGTTTCATAATCCCAAGGCACAGTGGCAGCCAGTCGACTCTCCCATTCCAAAGGGAGGGATGGACAGGTAGAGAAGAACAGAACTAAAGTGAGCCAGAAACCAACAGTGCAGACGTTAAGTCCTGTGGCTCGATGTCCAGCATCAGGGCCCACTGTGAGATGTGAGTTCCTAAGGGCAGCCCCATCCCTGTGACCTTGCTAGCTGCATCCCACACGGGCTCTTTCTTGAGCTTGCTCCATTCATGGCCCGCAGCTTTCTTTAGCAGACATTCCACACGCCTAGCATCTCCCATGTCCCGGGATCGCCACTGCCCCTCAGCTTTCTCCTCACAGCATCGTACACCCACCTTTCAGAGGCACCCTGCCTAACCTTCCGGGCGCTTATGTTTTTGTAATTTTGGTGGAAGCCCTCCTGACCCCACAGCTCTTGTATTCTGGCATAGTGTGGACAATATCAGGAGCTGCTTGCAGTGGAGCAGCAGCTGGGTCACCTTGGACCATGGTTTCGGTGGACTCTGAGTGTCTGGATGGCTGAACACGGTGAAATGAGTCCTGGGGAACCAATTATCCAGGTAGCCTTCTTGAGGAGGGAGCCCAGGGAGTCTCTTCTCGAATGAAAGGTACATACTTTTGCACCTTTAAGCATTTGATGAGGAGGTCTTACTGATTTCTGAGACACCCTCAGGGCGTTTCTTCTTGTTCCTATAAAGTACTTGGTTTCTTTTTAATGGCACCAATCTTTTGTAGCAGTTATACCTCCTTTGGCTTTATACATTATATATGGTTCTTTCCGGGCCAAAATTTTGTTTTGTTTTTACATTTTCTGCTGTGCTTTTGCCCCTAATTCTCATTGTAAAGTTGGCTGAAAGCAGCCGGAAGTATCCATGCCACAGCCTGAATGTTGGGTTGTCTTGAAATTTCCTCTGCCAGGTCAATTAGTCTACAGCCCTCAGAGTCACCTACTGCAGAAGTTTCAGGACATGGGCAAACTGAGGACAAATTTTATCCCAGAGGATAGCATACATGCCTTCTAATCAAACTACCAATGGCGTCCTTGTTCCCAACTGAAACCTGCTGAGCTTTGCCTTTACTGCATTCCCGCTGCCACTCTTGTCTTTTGAAGTCAACTATAATCACCCATCAGGCTCTACCTAGAGCATTCTAGAGTTTCCCCTGCATCTCCAAACTTCTCCAGCTCTTCCTCAAAACCAGCTACAAAGGTGTCTGAGCCACACGGTCAGGGACAGTTAGAGCGAGAGTCCGCCCTAATGTTCTGTGTTAGCTTTTCTATCACTGGGACGCAGTACCTGACACTCACAATGTAAAGGACAGGCTCATTTTAGCTCAGCGGCAGGAGATTCAGTCTATGGTCAGCTGGCTCCAAGGCAGAAACATCATGGAGGAAGAGTGTGGCAGAGCGAAGATGCTTAGTTCGTGGTTGCTAGGAAGCAGAGCAGAGAAACAATGCCAGAGAGGAAAGAGCCAGTATACGGTACTCAAGGTCATGCCTCCAAGACCCAGCAAGACACACCCAGAAGCATGCAGTACTAATCTCCTGGGTGTTTCTTAAGCCAATCATGTTGACACAATTAAAAATCACTGTCACGGGGTAACCAGGTCTGTGCTAAAGGGGGCCTTAGCTCGTGGAGGGCGAGCACTGGAGCAGGAACAGGCTTGGCCTAAACCTTGCTCAGAGGCTGTCCAGAGCAGACACTGGCCTTCTGAAAAGTCAGGGCTGTAGTTCCAGCTACTGGGAGGCTGAGGCAGGAGGATCCCTTGAGTTTAGCAGTTTGAGGCTAGCCTGGGTAGCATAGTGAGACCTGGTGCTCTCTCTCTCTCTCTCTCTCCCTCCCTCCATACAACAACAAGAAAAAGAAGATCAGGGCTGAGAAGAAGCCCCTTTGGCACAGAAGACGGTGGGGTGAAGCACAGGTGAAAAAGCAGATCTTCCCCACCAGCCAGCTGGACACTCAGCAGTGAAGCAAACGGGCCTTGCTGTGGTTTGGACCACATTATCTGGGTATAAAAGGTAAGCGTGGGACAGAAAAAAGCTGCATAATAGATGCTAAAATACACTTATAGAAGAGGAATAAATTCCAGTGTGCTGTGGCACAGTAGGGTGTGACTAGTGACTCCAGGGCCTTGTACGTGCTAAGGCCGTGTACATTCCCAGTCCTTTATTTATTTAATTTTTGAGACAGGGTCTTGCTAAGTTGCCCAGCCTGGCCTTGAACTTGTGATGCTTCTGCCTCAGCCTTTCAAGTGGCTGGAATCACAGGCAGGTGCCACCACATCTGGTTTAGAACATCCCCACATGTTTCATAAAGAACCGGAAGAAGATGAGTTTGGAGACTTCTAACACAGAAAAGATAACGTTTAAGGAGACGTGAATGCCAATTACCTTAATGTGATATCACACATTGTACATACCCATCACACTGCACCCCATAAATATACACAATTATTACGTTAATTTTTAAAAAACACAGGAGGGGTAGTGATGGGCCCATGTATTAAGCCTGGGAATAAAAGAACCAGTGATTTTCATTTTGCAGTGGTCTCTTAAAATACAGTGGTTACACCACAACACATCAGTCCAGAAGCCCAAGTTGGGGACAAGGGGAGAAGGCCCCGGGCATATCCCAAAGAGCTCAGAAGGCTCAGCAGCCAACCGGCTGGTTCCAGGCTAGGGCCTCGGCAGTTTGTGCACAAAGGCCCCGTCGGTCATGGCTGTGCTGTACAGATCTTTGCACCATGGGTCAAATGGCCAAATAGCCCCTGTGAGAATCTTGCACGATAAGAGCACAGAGGTATGCACGGCAGGGGACACTGTTGGTGCCCAGCACATCCCTTCCTGTCTCCTGTGACTTGGTTCCTAATAGCTACATCTATTGGTGCCACTGACCCAGAGAGCAAAGGCTTCAGAGCCAGGGATGGCTGGGGCAGGAGCACAGGCTCAGCCTCCGTGTGGAACGGAGCCCTGGGGGGGCCTTTCCACTCCGGAGCTCTCCGAGGTGTCACTTGAAATCACACCCCTCTTTAGCTTCTCCCCTTTCCTTGTCTTACTCCTCTAATTTCCTTCTGGTTTCTCCTGGAGGCACTTTGTCAAATACATCGCTCAAAACTCATCTCAGGATTGGCTTCTGGAAAGCCCCACTTTCAAAGCATAGTCACCGTACTGTGGGTATCAGCCTTGACCTTGGGTGGTGGCCATTTAACACAGCCGCTGAGTGGTGCGGGACTCCGCATCCTTGACCTCGGGTCCAGGGTGTAGCAGCTTCGTTATGGAAGGGACCAGGGACTCCCAGAGAGGCAGCAGAAGGGAAGTAAAATAACAAATTTACTCATGGGTAAGGGTCGATCGCACATAAGCCGTGCCTGGATCGCCGACGCACTGGGTTACGGCTCCTCCTCCTACGGGGTTTCACAGCCTTGACTTACGGCTCCTCCTCCTACGGGGTTCCACAGCCTCGACTTCATGTGGGCGGTTACACTTCATTCTCACAGCTCGGTCACAGTCACAGGATAGTTGACTTTCGACCCAGACGTAGCAGTTCTTTGCCGTTGGGGAGTTTACCTCTAAGATTCGCCTAGTTCTCTATTCTAGCCCACAGGAAGTGGGTGTTCAGGGTCAGGGAAACAAAGGTTAGCGATGGATTCTTTCATCTAGATGCTTTTACGATCAGGTGGCTCCAGTCTCATCGGAGCTCAAGGTCGTGACGTGCCCTGTTGTCTCAGGATCAGGCCAGATGCCTCGTTCAGCACTTAGTGCCTTCGGTGCCTGTTAGTTCCGAGCTAAGCAAAGCAAACTGCTGTGAGAGACAGCAGAAGCCATTTTCCATTGTAACACTTTATAGGATTTTGCTATTTATAAAAGGTTTCCCTATCAGCTGCAGGTGTAAGAGGGAGCACAGTGCATGGTCTGCACTGAGGCCGTGTCTGAGAAGCTGCAAAGAACACCACACCACAGCCATGTGACTTCCCCTTGGACTGTTTATTTGATTGTTCTTTAGTCAGGCTCCTCCCCGACACCTTTTGATCCCCACTGCGGCCTCTTTTCTAGGAGGCGGAGGCGGTCCCGCTCTTCCCACGCTAAGGGTTCTCCCTGCACACTTGCACAGACTATTTCGAAATCCAGACTGAAAACTTTGCTGGGGTTTGCAACCTGGAAGCACGTCCCAGGCCAACATTCATAGATAGGGTCAGGGCACAGCAGTGAGTCCATGGGGTCCGTCTACACCCAGGGTAGCACGCTGGGGCGGCGAGAACAAGGGGCCGGGCACTGTCTGAGTCCCCGGGCTCCAGAAACCTCCGAAACGACTGACTTTCGACAGGAAGAGCATTAGGAAGCTTGACAGAGGCACACGGGCTCCACGTGGGAGGTGCTCACTTCCCTTCATGGAGATTACATAAAAATAAAAGCAAGCCCACGAACCCACGGTAAGCAAACGCACACACAAGACACACTCAGTCTTAGATGGGCTGGAGAGGTCTGGGGCTTCAGCCTCCTCACGCAGGAGCCGCTGTCCCCAGCAAGGGGACGACGGCTTCTGAGACTCTGGGGTCTGGTCTGAAAGCTGGTCTGGCCCACCTGGCTGAGAAGATGCTGTTTCATCTCGACAGAGACTTGCAGGAAAGTCTGTGCCTTGGGCGTTTCCTGAATCTAGAGAGTTGGCATCGCTGAATCTGGTATCACTATCAGGGCAAAAGTGGCTTTGCATGCGGGGACCGTCCATCTCCAGGCCCTCTTTCCTACCAACCACTGTTCTCAGAGCCCGACGCGCCTGTCGCTCAGTAAGCACGCAGCAAATGTTTAACGGATGGTGCACAGAATAATCCAGAATGACACCATGTTCTCCCAAGAAGACACACTTACAACCTTTTCATGGGTTATACAATGGGTCTTTCTGAGCCTGCAAAGTGGAATTACAATTTACTTATTCTCCTGGCCCTAAAGGAACTTTGTTTTAGTTGAAGCTGACTCTTTTCGGGTGGAGCCAGGGGATGAACGAGGCTATGTCTGAATGGCAGGGTCTTTGGCAAATGAATTTTAACAGGGTGATCAATCAGCCGGAAGTGGGGCTGGGGCTGGAGGCCAGGCCAAGGTGCGTAAGTGTTGGGGCTGATATCTGGAAGGGGGACACAGTTTCCTTCTGCCCTGGGGAAGCTCTGGATCTGGCTGGTGATAAGAAGCCCCTGTTTAGCTGCCTGGAGAGATGGCATCAGGCACTGGAAGGAACAGCCTTGAGGCACGCGAGGAGGGAGGCCACGGGCGAGCGGAGATGGATAGAGCGCACCGGGCAGCTTTCCAGCTGAGCTCTCGCACACGCGTGCTGGTCTGGGGAGCCTTTGGGGCAGAAGCCAGCTCTGAGAACACTTGTTTCCAGGGAAGGCTCTAAACTAGATTATTGGACCCGCAGGGAGTGGGGAGGGTTAGCCCAGGGTGTCTACACCTTGGAGAGAAAGTCAGGTGGGTTGAGAGGCGGTGAGGAATGAACAGTTTCAGGTGGCGGTGAATTTGAATTTGAATGAGTGCAGCTCAGGTCTGCCTGGGGCACCAGGGTCCCTTTCCACGCTACCAACCTTGAACTTTAGGGTCTGGCTGTTGGCAGAGCCAGTGACCGGGGATCTCCTCCTCCTCCCCCCACACCACTCCAGTTTGGAGTAGAGACTAAGGATTCTTGGGGAATGGTTTGGATGCATGATTTTTTTGAGTTTTGTTTTGTTTGTCACGTCAGGGCTCTGCACACACCGGCCACACACCCAGCTATTTTTAGGAGGGACAGAGCTGAGCCTCACTGGGGTGACGCAGGTCCTGCCCAGGGAGGGTGAGGCCTGTGCACAGTTGCCCCAAATTCTATCTTACTCCGCACACGTCTCCCAGCAGGGCCGCTCAGTCCAGCTCAGGCAGGGGAAGGGCCCGGAGAACTCGAGGGCCGAGGAAGCACGGAGCGCACAGGTCAGGGCACCATGTGCCACCACTTGTAGGCGAAGGGCTTCCTGCGGACGTTGGTGCCACAGTGCACCTCCCCTAGGAACTTGTGGTAGGCAGAAATGTCGTCGATGAAGGTGCAGCAGAAGCCCAGGGGCTCCAGCAGGCTGCGCACGTGCGACTCCAGGCAGCACTCCTCCTCCACCTGGGGCCCGAAGGGCTTGGGAATGCCCAGGTCCTTGTCCAGCACGATCATGTTCACCTGCGGAGTGGGCAGTTGCTTCGTGAGCACCTACTGTGCGCCTGCCATGTTCTAAGCTCCCGGAGCCCTCACCACAGCCCTGTGGAAGGGGCACTGGGACAATTCTTTCTTTAGAGCTGGGGAAACTGAGGCACAGAGAGTGCGAAGCAATCACAAAAGGCAGGGCTGAGAGGAAAAGCAGGCGCCTGCCTCGGTACATATGTGTACACGTGCAGGAGCAGGCCTCTGTGTACTACATGCACCGGCACGCTATATGCACACGTGTGCACGACTACGCACACCCGGACGCATGCACTGTGTGTACACATTCAGATGTGCCTGTGCATATGTGTGTGTTGATAGGACCTCCTTCTATCTCTTTACCTTTTGCAAAACAGCTTCCTATTTGTTAAGGTGGAGAGTTCTCAGTACCCCAGGGAGGCGGCTGGGAAAAGAGCGTCACCCCAAGGAGGGCACAGCGGCCCTCAGAGAAGGCAGGTGCCTCAGGCGATGTCACCCAGCAGCTCGGCCTGGATGGGACCTGAGTTCCTGGCGGGGCAGGCTTGGCCAGGGCCCCTTCGGGCTCTGACTGCCTCCAGCTCGGAGTGGGCCAGGCTGGGATCCCCAGGGTCTCACCATGTTTGGGAAGAAGGCTATGGCCTGGCGGCCCTCGTGCATCTTGAACAGAGCTGGCAGGTCGATGATGTCCTGCTCCGTCACCCCCAGCTCCCTCTTGAGGGTGTCACGGTTCCAGTCTAGGCAGCGCTGGGTGGGAGCAGGCAAGGGTGTCAGGTAAGGGACACACAACCGTCACCTCGGCTGCAGTGTCCGCTCTCAGCGGGCCCCCACCTGGTCACCTCTTCCAGCGCCCCTGCTCAGGGCCTGGGGACAGTCGCAGCGGTGATGACAACCCAGAAACAACATCGGCAACTCCTCTCAAGGACTGGACCCCAAGGCCGCCCCAGGACACTGGTTATGGCTTTGCTGATGATCACGGAGGGTGATGTATAAAGGCACCTGGCTCTGTTCTGAGCAATGGACACAGGGACTTAGTTAAGCTTCAGCTCGTGGGGGGGATGCCAGCGTCACCCCCTTTTTAGAGATGGGAGACCGCAGAGAGTCACAGCGAGCTGCCTGGGGTCCTTCTGCCCAAAGCAGGGGCCACAACTTGACCTTAGATCTACCTGACCTCAGGAAGCAATCACTGAGGGTTGCTTGTAATAAACCCAAGTTTCAAACAGCCAGTGAGGTGATCGGTGACGTTTCCTGGCTCTCACATCGGTTTCCGGGCATTCACTCTGCCCCCTCGCCCCACAGTACAGCAGTTTGTCGGCCCAGTCAGTGCTCTGCTGCCTTTACCTCCTCTACCCACCGCTACTTCCCCTGTTACCTCTAATTGATTGAGTCAGGGGTGGGCAGTAACTCAGGATTAAACAAATCAGTGTATAGACCCCCAGGTACAGTAATTGGTTCAAGTTGGCTCAGACCAGAGTGAAATGCAAGCTCTTGTTCAAATATTGCAGAGCATAAAAAAGTTCTGTGTTTGTGCATGGTAAGCTGGGTGGATGTCAGCTCCTGGACAACCTGCAGCCATGAGGGCACCTGCAGAGATCTGCAAGTGCAGAAAAATGGAGCCGGAGCCCTGATCAGCCTGTACCTGAAATCCACACCTCTGCTGGACTTCCCACTTATATGAGTCAGTCGTGCCTTTTTGTTTAAACCAGTTTGAGTTGTTTTCTGCTTCTTAGTTTTTTTTTTTTGTACCTGCGATTGAGCTCAGGACCTTACGGTTACAAAGCAGGCACAGGGCCACTGAGCTAAATCCCCATCCCGCTTCATCTTCATTTTTATTCATTTATTTATTTTCTTACGCTTCTTAAGTTTTCAAATAAAGAGAGACTTAATTCAAATAAATACGGTTTCTATTTCTGGATATATAATCTTGAGACCTAAGAACTACGTGGGGTGAATGCATGGACAGAAGACTTCAGTATCTGTGACTCCTTAACACTCAGAGGTGGCGACTTGTGCCTATACAAGCACTTTCCCGCAAAGCGTGTCTGTGGCATGCGGCACGTTCTAAAGGAGGATGTCCTTCCCAGACTACACAGCTCTACGCTGGCAGAGCGCTCGGTGGTGCCCGGCCTTCCCAGGGCTTCCGGCCCTGCTAGAAGGGGCTTCGATGCCTCCTTGTGCCCACCCTCTAGCTCAGGACAACAGCAAGAAGGCTGCTCGCGGGCTTGACGAGGCCCTCCGGGTGCCGGCCCAGTGGATCGGGAGCGCCCAGGACAGGACGAGGCCCTCACCTGGAAGTAGTGGTTCTCCTTCACGAGGCTCTCATTGGACAGGATCTTGTTGATGGTGACCCTCTTGCTGCTCATGCCCCCCAGGCCTGTGGGGTCAGAGGACAGGATGGTCAGAATCAAGATGCCTGGGCCAGGGCTCCATCCGAGCTCACAGCGGGACATGCAGGAGGCCAAGGGGGTGACGCCGGCTGGAGGCCCGGGGGGGGGATCCCTGCGCCCTTTCTGGGGAGGGCTGTGTACACTCCTTCCTACGTGGGTCCTGCCACCTGGGCGGAGACAGGAGCTGCGGCTGCCTTTGCTCTCAGTCCAGGTGGCGCATGGGGGTGACATCACCAGCCACCTGGCTCTCCCACCTGGAACCTGCTTCCGAGAACAGGAGCTGACCAGGTGAGTGCGAGAGAAGCCGCCTCATCTGTCCTGTTGTGCAGACTCACCCCTAGCTCCGGCCCTGCCCTGGAGGCAGGCCTGTCTCCCCTCCGGTCCTCCTGACACCTTGGGGCTTTGGTCGATTTGTGACACCCTAAGGCTGGCTTAGGTGTGGCAGGTGCTCTTCTCGGGCTCTGTGTGGATGGACTCCTTGGTCCTCCCCGCATTTCTATGCTAGGCGGGGAAATTGAGGCACAGAGAGGTGGCATGACTTGTCCAGGGCCTCACAAGCAGCTCATGGCTGAGCTGCTCGCCCATCAGAGGCGGACAGCAGAGCCTTGCTCCTCACCCATATTTCTGCCTGGTCTAGGAGGTGCCTGCTGGACCCTGCACTTCCTAAGCTTGGCAGTGGCAAAGAGATCAGGGCTGGGCCGAGGATATAGCTCCGTGGCTGTGTCTTTGCTTAACGTGTGTGCAGGGAGCTGGGTGTGATCTCCGGTACTGGGGTGGCGGGGGGAGAAAAGAGAGAGATGGGGCTGTCAGACCCTTATCTGAGCTGTCCCCGCTCTGCTCACCCTCATTAGCACAAAGGTAATAATGGTTCTTATACCCTCTGGCTAGCTTTTAGGCTGTGTTTAGCATAGAAAGGAAGCTCCGAAGGTCAAGCCTCACGCCTGCCAGTCCACGAAGAACCTTTCCTTCAGGGCTAGGGTTATAGGCAGTGTACTAGTCTGGTCCTTTCTGTCCTCAGATCCCTCAGCAGCCAGGAACGCTGTCTTTGGACGTGAGGACAGAGACCTAAGTGCTGACCAGCCTTGGGGATGCAGACGTTTGGGTAGGAGATATAGTGGGAATGCCCACTGGAAAAGTGGCAAGAGTCAATTTAACCAAAAACTGTACTTGGCACCAGGCCTGCCTCGTGAGTGCAAGGTCCTGTGTTCGATTCCTGGTACAAAACAACACAAGAAAATAGGGCCGGGGATTTAGCTCAGTGGTTCTGCCGCCTGCCTCACAAGCACAAGGTCCTGAGATCGATTCCTGGTACTCCCCCAACAAAAAGCCAACTCGACTGTGTGACTGATATGGACAGAGGTGATGGCTATTCAACACCGCATGCGTATCTTGGTCCCTGTACTGCGTACTCACCTAAGTGAAAGAAGGGTGATGTCATTTCGTCACAGTAATAGCCACCAAAGCAGTAGGAATTGCCCGGCTTCTAACCTGGCTCTCGGTCTCTGATCACTTTCCTCTTTTTCCATCATTAATTTAAATGTAAGCCTCGGCCCAGCCGATCCCCGCCCAGTTAGGCAGATGTCTAAATTAAGTCGATCATTTTTCACTCTGGGACCGACGGTGATGATGCCTAACTGTCATCGTGGTTGCCAAAGCCTGCTTCCTTTCCTGGCCCTGATCTGTGCTCGCTCTGCTCTCCTCCCGTCTCCCTTTGTGAAACACGAGCTCCTGGGTGCAGACTGTGCACAGGTTTTGGAACCTGCAGCTCTCCCAGGGGCTGGCACACACGAGGTCCTGGGGAAACGCTGCGCAGTGGGTGACAGAAAGGAGGGGGCAGCCCCATGAGTCACTTGGCCTCAGCAAGGGGCAGAGAGGCCAGGGCCGCTCCCACGGGGTGGCCTTGCGGGCTCTGCGGGGAGGGGAGCGGGGCAGGCCCAGGGCCATGCGGCTGGCAGGGACCGGGGGTGCAGCCTGGGCTCCCTGCTGAGGCCCCTGCCCTCTCACCCTTGAACATGACGGCTTCCCCGTGGCCCTCCTTTTGCTTCTCTTGGAAGAGCTTGTAGCAGGCGGCGGTGCTGGCCATGAGCAGCCGGAATTCCTGTGGGAGGCAGTCAGGCAGCACGCTGTCAGCAGGGAGGGCAGCGGGGGAGTGGGAAGGGTCCCGGCCCTGTCTGTTTCTGAGGACTACGTCTCACCCTTCCACCATCTTGGCAATGCCAGGCGAGTCAGAGCTCAGAGTCAGAGGTGGCCTTGGACAGAGTGGAAGAGCTTCGCCGAGACGCCACGAGCCAGGCCATTTGCACAGGATTTTTAGGGTAGGGGGTGGCAGCCACTCCTTTTCAGAAAATAAAGCTGCGGACCCAACCCGTCTCTCGGGAGCTTTACAGCCAATATGGCAGCCACAGGGTCATGTGACAACCGAACACCTAACTATGGCTAGGCTGACTGGAGATGCGCGAGAGAGTAAAATGCTCACCGATTGTACAGACAGTGTGAACAAGGAATGAAAAACTGCTAATTTATACTCTTTATATCGAGTACACATTTATACGGTGATACTCTGGATTTACTGGGTTAAAATTTACCGGCGACAGCCACAGCATACAAACCAGCCTTGGCCTACTTCCTCCTTCCTCTGCGCCGCTGCCTCCGTCTAGAGCCTGCCTGTCCACTCTAGTCCCGGGGACAAGCTCACCTTTTTGCCTGGGATGGGGACGAAGGTCATGAACTCGTCCACGTGACCCACGGTCAGCCAGTCCGAGTAGAGCTCCACGGGTGCCTGTACCTGCTGCGCCGCCAGGAAGTCGCGTACCACCTTGGTCATCCGCCGCCCACCAGACCTTGGGCGAGGGTAGGGAGGGGGTGGCTCTTCACCGTGCCTGTCGCAGAGGGCCTGCAGCCTGGGCCAGCCCGGCATCAGCCTGCCCAGGCCTCAAGATCCGCCCTGGCCCATTACCAAACAGCCACAGTACCTTCTCATTGTAATCAGTTCATTTTAATCACCTCTCCAGGAAGCCTCCCTGACTGCCAGAGACCATGGGGCCTTCAATGTCCCCATTATCTTTAGGCTACAGCCCAAGTTCCTCATGGTGGCTGACAACCTTCCTGTGACCTGGGTCCTGCCTGGTCCTCCCACCTCGCCTTCCTCCCCTCTTCCTGGTTCTGTGAAGTCCAGTGTTCATCCTCGACACCCCTTTCCCAGCAAGAGCTCTGCAGGCTGGGGCTTTGTGCTCTGGTTACTGTTCTGTCAGCCTAGAACAGAGCCTGACACGGTCGGTCTTCAATAAGTATTTGTCTCTAAGAAACCTCCTGAACTCTGTTCTTGGGCCCCTGAACTCCCTGCTTGTCTTCCTGTTGCTCTATGTCCTTCTCTCTCCTTAGGGTCAATCTGTATAACCGCCACCTCCCCTGACTCCTTGAAGGCTAGGGTAGGGCTTGGCACTTGGCTGGTGCTCAAGAAATAGTTGCTGCGTGGAATGGACGAGTGACCATTGAGTGGAGGGAAAAGAGAAAGAGGATGGAAAAATGGTCACTGCCTGTGTCTTCCCAGAATGTGGAGCATCCCGTGTGGCTCAGAGGACTTGGCACCCAATGTCTGGATGACTGGATACATGCAGGTTCCTGGCAGCCCTTTTGTGCAATGAGAACCCAAATATACAACCTCTCCCTGGTGAATGCCTTGACCAAGGAAGAATCTTCCTTTTCATTGGTGGTGGATTAACTAGGCTGGGCCATTTCTTTTCATGTTTCTTTCACGTATGGGCAGCCTGAGGATTCACAGATGTGCTCCCACCCATATCTGTTGGTCTCCCTTCCCTAGTCTCTGCTATCTCTTCCCTGCTGTTTTAAAAGGTCCTTATACGTCCTCCCAGTTGAGGGAGGGACTTTGTTTCTTTGGGTATACATTAGACCTTAATTTATACTAAGATGTAAAGGCTAACTTGTTTTGTTTTTTTTCCCTCCCCAAGAGCATCTACATTATCAGAGAGTCACGACAAGAGGTGATTCTCCCAGCCGCTCATTCCATGCAAGAGCAGCCCAGGTGACCCCTAAGGAGGAACATTCCCGGCCCTCCCCCGCTGCCCCCGCTCCCTCCTGGCTTCTCTTACAGAGGGAAGCTGCTCCCGATGAGGATCCGGCCAAGGGGGTACGTCTTGCCGTTCACGGTCACCGGGGGGCTGACCTCCAGGTTCCCAAAGGAGTCAAGGCTGGTGACGGACTCAAAGAGGGGCTCCCGGGTCACGTAGCCGAAATCCGGGCCCTGGGCAGAGGCACACCTGCCATTAGTCCTGGTAGCCCCATGCAGCTGCCCGCCAGCGCCCACCCCTTCACCACCAGGGCCTGGTGCTGTGGGCCTCGTGGCCCGTGGTCGTGTCATTTCTGCCGGGGCCCAGGCACGGGGAGGAGAGCTTCTGAGCACGCCTGTGCAGGGGCTGTGATGCGTGTGAGTGCGTGTGTGAGTGCAGATCTCTGCGTGTGCCTCTTTTCCCAACAGAAGTCTGGAAGCGACCTGAGATCACTTCTCGTGCGTGCTCTCGATCCGCTTAGCTCTCAATCTCTCGGACCCTCAGTCTCCCTATCTGTAAAAGAGATGCTGCATTCCTGACCCGGGGCAGGGAGGTGGACTGCGTTATTCTTCTGGGGGATTTGGCTTCCTGGCTCATTTCCCTGTGACTTCTGCTTTCTCCCTGCCAAAGGATCAGGGTCACATGACTTGCTTTGGCCAGTTCGGGGCGGCTGCCTGGGAGCCGCTGTGTGTCTGCCTGCATTGCCTTCATCTTCCCGTGCTAGGAGGGTGGCGTTGCTCAGCCTAGGGCTGCAGCTCTAGACTGAGGCTCTAGAACGAGGAAGCCACGCATGAGCAAGCAGGTGCGTGGACAGCCAACCCGCCGTGAAGCAGACCTTTGCTGCTGTCAGCACTGAGATCTGGGGCTTGTCTGTCACCACAGCCTCCCTAGTGACAGCTGACCAATACCTGACGATAGTCTGCACCCCAGCCCATCCCCAACGACCACACGCGCCCACTGACCCTTGAATCCTTCTCAGCGTAAGGCTCCAAAAGGTGGAGTTGACACTCAAAATATAACCCCACTGATGTCCTAAATTTTAAGGTTCCTTTCATGATTTTTTTTTTTTTTCAAATTTAGGCATCTTGCTTTGGAAGCTCACACTGGGACTGTGATTGTATTACAAAAATCCCTGTTAGAGGGCTGGGGATTTAGCTCAGTGGTTCTGCTGCCTGCATTGTAAGTGTGAGCGCCCAAGTTTGGTATATATATATATTTTAAATCCCTGCTGGGCCTGCTGGTGCACGCCTGTAATCCTAGCACTTGGGAGGCTGAGGCAGGAGGATTGCTGTGAGTTTGAGACCATCCTGGGCTACATAATGAGTTCCAGGTCGGTCTCAACTACATATAGAGACCCTGTCTCAAAAAAAAAAAGTCAAAAAAAAAAAAAAAAAAAAAAATCCCTGTTAGAAAAACCTGGGAAGTGGAGGATGTGGCTAGTCCTGGACCGGCTGAGAGGCTCCGGACAGTGCGCCAGTGCACGGATGGCTGCAGCCTAGCGCTTTCTCGCCCAGGGGCCCAGCCGGCCCTGTGTGTGAGCTGGCCCAGGATGGCAGGAGGCCGGCAGCTGGGGCTTCACAGCATCACCCGGGCAGCAGGCAGGCAGCACAAAGCCAGGAACAATGTAAGCCTGGGCTCAGGAATGAGGCCAGCCTGGAACACTGCAGGCAGGTGGTGACCCAGGGAGGAGAGAGCCGGCCTGAGCGGGGCTCTCGCGTCTTCGGCAGCCCTGCAGGGGGCCGGTTTGACCCGATGCCCTGTGGTATCAGTGGAGGGGCAGGAAGCTCATGGGACCGCGTCCAGAGCTGTGCAGGGAGAACCACAGCACCAGCGACCAGCGGTCACTGTAGGGGCACCGTACTGATGTCTTCTTACACAGGCTTTGAATCTTCACTATGAGCCTATGACAACAATGCCATCTCTTTCCACTTTACAATGAGCACATTGAGGCTCATGGAGGTTAGGTTGCTTATTCAAGGTCTCGTTTCCACTGAGGGACTGCTGCTCAAGGCCGGGTCCCTCTGACATTCTAGAACTGGGCCTACACTCTCAGCTCCCCCAGCTCCGCAGGACGAGGCGACCATGTGAGTCAATGGTCTCAGAAAGCAGGGGCGGTCCCTGAGCGGCCCCTCATGTCTAGCAGGAAGTATGTCCTGAGTGTGACCTTGGGGAGGCCCAGCCCACCCCGGTCTCAGGATCAAGCTATGCCCAGGCCTCCTGAGCCCGTTGTGGGGGGCGAGGACAGAGGGGACTGGTTTCCGTTCTACTGTCACATGACATTGAGGGCACACAAGGGGGTGACAGTGGGGTCCCAGGAATTGGAGGAGACAGATGGCATTAAGGTTTTTTTGTGTGTGTGGTACTGGGGATTGAACTTGGGTCCTTGAGCTTGTGAGGCCAGAATCACTGAGCTAAATCCCCGGCTAGATGGCATTATGTGAAACACACGTGTGCTGAAAACCACAGCTTCAAGGCCTGGATGAACTTTAAAGTCAGAACGATGATATTTGACAATTGTATAACTATAGTTTTCCTCTGTTTTGTTTGTTTGTTTGTTTTTGTTTTTTGAGACAGGGTCTCACTAGGCAGTTGAGACTGACCTGGAACTCACTATGTAGCCCAGGCTGGTCTCGAACTCACAGTGATCCTACTGCCTCAGCCTCCCGAGTGCTGGGATTACAGGTGTGCGCCACCACGCCTGGCGATAATTTTCCTCTTTGAAACTTTTTTTTTGGTACTGGGGATCAAATTTAGGACCTTGCATTTGCAAGGCAGGGGGCGGAACCACTAAATCCCCAGCCCTCTTCGAAATTTATTTTGCTGCAAGTTGGAGGACCAGGCCTGCAGCAGGGGCCAGGCCTCTGGAGGTGGGACTGGCCCTGTCTCCCACAGTTTCCATTTCCCACCTGGAAACTGTTTTGGGAGCACAAATTATGAAAGCAGAAAAGGATCTCAGGGGCCTCTATTCCAGCTCACCTATCTCGCAGATTAGAAAATAGAGGCCCTGAGTAGCAGACTGGCTTATCAAGGGTGCTCCGGTCTCCTGACTGCTCCGCCCTATAAAATTCCCGTGTCACCTCCCTCGCTCCCACCACTGGGCCCTCTGTGTCTCACCAGGAGCTGTTTTATGGGGAAGTCCTTGAGGCTGCCATCTCTGGGAGAGTCCAGCACCACGGGGAAGCCTTTGTGGGGGGCCTCGATGTAGCCAAACTCAATTTCATCCTGCGGGGACACCAAGGACAGCCGTGAACCCAGGCCACTCCCCGTGAGCATCAGTCAGCTGGGAGGGAGGTGCACTCCAGAAGGAGCAGGGACTTTGAGCCTCCCAGTCCCCAGGTCCTCACCTGCAAATATGGTTGCAGATCTTCCCACAGATTGCCTGTGCACATCACAAGCATTTTTTTTTTTTTTTGTATCAGGGATCAAACTCAGGCCCTTGCGAGGCAGGCAGTGGCACCACTGAGTTAAATCCTTGGCCCTACAAGCATGTTTCTTAGCAGCACCAACCTCACTGTCCCCCACCCACCACCACCACTGGGACAGGGTCTAGGTATATAGTTCAGGCTGGCCTTGAACTCACAGCGATCCTCCTGCCTCAGCCTCCCAAGTGCTGGGATTACAGGCATGCGCCACCATGCCTGGCTTGACCTCTTGGCATCATGCTGAACATGTTTTCCTTCAAGTAACAACTTAAAGTGAAGTACATTCTGTACCAGCCTCATTCTTTTAAACTATTGCATAGACTCCACAGTGAGCTGTCACCCAGGGTGCTGGGGATGGGTGCTTCAGCGCTTTTCAGTCTTTAGCTATGACAAGAAGCCACACTGCAGTGACTTCCTTCCCCATCTCTGGGCGCTGGGCAGGAACAAGCTGACAGAAGCCTGCTCCTGGCCGTTGAGGGCCAGGTGTCTGGCCCAGCCCAGCCCTCTCGCTAGACTCCGGCAGTGTCCTTTGACCGAGCCCGCACCTGGATCCAGCGGTCTCCCCGGTTCATGTACTGGAAGCAGACCTTCAACTCGCAGTTGGTTTTCTCCACGAGGTTCTTCACCTCCTTCAGGAACAGGTAGTTGTCCTTCATGCTGGCAAGAGGGAAGAGGGGGACGCCAGGAGGAAGGGTGAGCGGGAACCGGGCTACCCTCGGGGCAGTGGGGACAGCAGCCAGCCTCTCTGAACTGAGTTGGGCGTGGAGGCCGCCTTAGGGTTCGGTCCTGTGTGTAAAGGCCGCTGGAGTCACGGACCAGCCGCACAGGCAATGTTGTGGAGGTCATGAGGAAATAAAACTAGGAAGGGAGCATCATCGTTACCCGCCCCAAAGCCTATATCGCTGACCTGCCAGATTTAAATACAGTGGATCCTTGAGTTACAACCAGCCTGAGGTACGGACAACTTGGGTTTTGATGGGAATTTTAGTTTTAAGACAAAAGTCTTGAGTTACGACCCGAATGCTGGCTGCTTGTGCTTCCAGATGGTCTCAGATACAGATTTAACCCTTGAAGAGTTCTGGAAAGAGCATTACAGCATCCTTTCCTGTGTGGGGTTCACTGAGGGATCCTGGGCCAGCGTCTCTCTAAGGCCACTGAGATCTGCCTGGGTACAGGAGAGGAACTTGGAGGGTGATGTAGAGGAGCCCGAGCCTTCAGTTGACCAATTTGAGTTAAAAGCAGCCTTCGGAGCCTGGGATTTAGCTCAGTGGTTCCACCGCCTGCCTCGCAAGCACACGATCCCAAGTTCAATCCCCGGTACAAAAAAAAAAAAAAAGCAGGCTTTGGGAATAAATTGAGTAAGTCAAGGGTCCACTGTGTGAGCTATGCCTGGTCTGAAGGCCAGGGAGAGGTCTGGGAACCTCCAGGCTTCCTCCTGGGGCTGCCCCTGTGGGCATTTCTTTCCCTCGCTTCTCATCTTGCTGTGGTTAAACTGGCACATAATAGTTACTCAATAAAAACTTGCTTGGGCCAGGGATTTAGCTCAGTGGTTCCGGTGCCTGCCTTGCAAGCGCAAGGACCCGAGTTTGATCCCCAGTACCAAACAAACAACAAAACAAAACAAAACTTGCTTCAGGAGTGAGCAAGATGAACTGACCAGCCGTTGCTCAGGGGTCCCCAGCTGCAATGCAGGGCCAGAGCGGGAAGGGTTACTTCTGGAGGGTACTCCCTGCCCCGGGCCAGACGGCACTTGGCCTGCTTCATGTCAAGTGACCCTGTGATGTGAGCATCTCAGAGAAACTGACGCACAGAGAGGCCAAGTGAGTAGTTCCAGGTCACCCAGCTGGTAAGTGACAGTGCCAGGAACCAAACTCAGGTCAGCCTGACCCAGAAGCCCGGCCCTCGGCCACTCTGCCATGCCGCCTCTGGGCCGCGGTCACCCCTTACCAGCACACAAACACTGACACGGGAGGCAGGATGTTGGGCGTCATGATCCACGGAGCGATGCGGAACGTCACAGTGTCCGTGAAGATGGGTGTCAGGGGGATCCCCTGGGACACATGGAAAACCCACGTCAGAGGGTGCCTTCCACTCCGCCTTCCAAGTGGGAGAACTCGTGAGCGTTACACACCGAGCACGCACTGATACCAGGCCCTGCGCCAAGTACTTTTCCATGAGTTAATTTATTTCTGCCTTCCAATAGCCTCAGGGGTGGATGATGCTATGATCTTCACTTCTTAGATGGGGAAATCAAGTCACAGGCCCAGTTAGTCATTATCCGGGGTTACATGGTTAGCGAGCAGCAGAGCCAGGCTTTAAACCTGGGGGCTCCAGTCCCGAGTCTGCCGTCCTAACCATTGTCTCATCGGAGTTCCTGTCCTGAAATCACTCCCACCTGCAGCTGTTTGGTCTTCTGTGTCACAGATGGGGAAACCAAGGCACAGTGCAATTAATTCATTTGCCCAGGGTCTCACGGTGGTGAATCTGAGATCGAGCCTGGGTCAGTGCGGGCCCAGAGCCTACCCTCATGCATCTCAGCTGGACTCAGCCTCTCCTGGACAGAGCCCCAAAGAGTCCCCGGGTAAAATGACAGGGCCCTCTGTGTCTGGTGGAGCAGTCAGCCCCTCCCCTGTTTTCTGAGTGAAACAGGGTGGCCCTGAGAGGTTGGAGCCTGGCACCAAGGTCCCTGATGAGGGGCTCTGGTCACAGGAAGCAGCCTCGGCTTCAGCCTCAGGACAGAGTGGAACTGCCAGGCTGCTGGCTGCAGGGCAGGGGTCAGAGCTCGTGTGACCCACAGCTGGGGCAGGAAGAACAGGGCGCAGAGGGGTGACACAGGGTGTCGACAGAGCTCGCAGTGTGGCCCAGTCAGAGCCTCCCGCTGACCTCTAGGACTCTGCCTCAGAACCAGGCACATCACTGCAGCGGGCAAGGCATAGGCTTGGGAGGCTCAGGAGTTCCTGGGAGCAGCTGTGGCAAGGAGGGTGGTCCTGGGGGACACCTCAGGACCACAGCCGACACGTGCAGGCCTGGGGCAATCTGGGTCTCCCAGCCTGGACCATGTGGTGCTTTGAGGGGTGCAGGACACGGTGTGGCCACCGAGAAGCGGTTCTCTGTAGACAGCCCCTGGTGGGGGAGGCCTGGGGTCCTCACCTCGTCCACGTACTCCAGCAGGCTGACGTGCACGGAGACCAGGCCCGAGAAGCCCTCGTCGGGGAAGCGGAGGCCTTCCACGAAGAACAGCAGCTCCGCGGAGCCCCCTGTGTACTTGACCACGTGGTAGAGCTTCTTCCGGCCCAGGATGTGGACGTAGCGCTCCCCGAAGAATGGGTCTGGGGGGCAGGGAAGGACCAACGTCAGTGCCCTGTGCCATCAGGAGGAGGTCGGAGAAGTCACTGACGGGTACAGGGCAGTGACCTGTCCTCGAGACATGGAGCAAAAGCACAAGCAGAAAATGCCACTGGGTTGGCTCTTGGCTTCCGGTTTCTTCATCCACAAGAAGAGCTGGCGCCTGTGAGTGCACACGCGAAAGGGCCACAGACGGTAATCATGTAACTAGTGCAGCACAGGAGGACATTATCGCTCCCGTGTCACAGCCGAGGAAACTGAGTCTCAGAAAGGAGAAAGAGCTCATCTGAGGTCATCCAACTGGGAAGTGGCTGAGCTGGGACTCAAGCTCACGTCTACTTCTGAATCCTGAACTCCCATCCGCCTTGTGTCAATAAACCGTACACGGACCCATGTGTACCCCAAATTCCCCTCGGTGTCATGAAAGCCCTGTTAGGGTGAAATGCTAAGAAAGAAGAGAAGAGGAAAAGGCAGCTTCTCCAAAGCTCCCGTGCCCCGCAGTCTCCAGCTTGTCACAGGGCTGTTCTGTTTGGAACAGTCTGATTTCCCCCCCGCCTCCAGGTCCTGCTTTGTGTCACTGTAAATAAGCAAACGCCTGGATCGCCTGGATCAGACCGGGGGCTGTTTGGAGTTGTGCAGCCTTTCTCAAGGCACGTGGCCAGTGTGAGGGCCGAGACAGCCCCGGTTTAGGGAGTGAAGGGACAGCCCCCAGGCCACTCCCTAGGGGAGAGGCCACTGGGGAATTGTCAGGTTGCTCGAGAGCACATGCTTTTGAGTGATTGCCCTGTCACCACCAGGGCAAGGGCCCCCGGGAGGCAGATGGTCAGCGTACAGCATGTAAGAGCAGTGCTCTCAGCGGGTGATAAGATGGAGCGGATGTGGGAGGCTTATGACAGAGATCTTGTTGGGGGCAGCGTGGGGGGCAGCAGAGTGGGGAGGGGAGAGGAGAAGGGTGGCAGCTCATCTGAGGAGAGGCAGCCTTTGAGACGCCCTGTGGGGTGCCAGGGGTGGTGCTGGGGTGTGAGGGAGGAGATATTTGCACCGACCCAGGCAGCTCCACAAGGAGTTTCCCTACGCCCTGCCGAGCTGGAAGGCAGAATCAGACTCAGCTCAGTGCTTTTAACAATGATAATGGTTAGTGACCAGCTGCTCAACAGTTAGAACGAATAACCAGAACATTCCTGGGATGAAGAAGGGGCCTGATCCACAGCCGTGAAATGAGAGGCCCGGGCCTGGGGGACGTGTACTCAACTGGACCTTCTCGATCCTGTTTACCTGTCTGGTGAATGCGGGACTATATATCTATGCCACAGGATCGCTACAAGCGACACAGTATCTGCAACCTTGGCAACCTCGGTCACTTAGAACTGCGAACAGATCTGCATGGCCTTTACTGCAGCACTGATGGCCTTTTCATCCAGCAGCTACTGAACAGAAGGCACAGAGGCGATGGTTCACTGTACCGCCCACAGCTGTGTCCAAGAAAGAAGACCGATAGATTCACACCCGGAATAGCTCAAGAGACGTTTGCACAGCCCAGCATAGAAGGCAAGGTCCTTCTTACCCACAAATGACGGTGTGTGCCCTTTGGCCCACTCTCTCCGGATGGCCGTGTGCACGGGGACTAAGATACTCTTCCCTGGCTCTTGGGCCTTCCACACCCATGGGTGGCTGCACTTGAACTAGCGAGCAGGCGAGAGACCTAGAAGCCAGCACTCTTTTTTTTTTTTGGCAGAATTGGCAGAAGCGAAGCTCCCCCAGCGCTCAGGGCAGCTGGGGGCTCTACTGGGGTCTGGAACTGAGGGGATGTGGACAGCAGGCGGGTCAGGTGGAGAACATGGTCTGTATCTGCTGCAGCTCTCTCCCCCACACGGGGCCCTGTGCTCTGAGATTCACAGCGTGTTTCTATCCTGGCCTCTTTTGGGCAGTTTGGGCCAGTGCCAGGGATATCAATCCCCTGGTGGGAACAGTACAGCCATTGTCCAAGGAGCCTCTGTCCCTTGTTCCCTGTCCCCAGCTTGGAGCAGAGCCGGCCGCCTCCGGTGTGGCCAGCTTTGTCTGTGGCAAAACAGTGTCCTCTGGAATTGTCCTTGTGCCTTGGGCTGGGCTTGAGGACCCCCTTGACCTCTCCGGAGCCCCGGGCGGTGGCCTCAGCAGTTGGTGTCACCTTTCCAGTCATTCTGGGGCAATTCCACCTCCCAAGGAGTTTCTGATGGTGTGACAACTGTCCAAGTTTGCCTGGGATCCAGGTGTTTCCCAGCACGAGGGACTTTCACTGCCAGGATCTCAAGGAAGTCCTGAGCAGATGGGGACAAGTTGGTCACCTGCACCGCCTTGTACGAAGAGCTAAGGGCCGGCTTTCAGGGCTCTGGGAAGAACCTGAGGCTGGAGTAGGTCACTGGGCCTTCTACAGGCACTGGAGACTTCTGTCCACCCCAGTCACCACAACTAGCATAACATTTCCCACAAAAGCAGTGACCTCCTGTCTTTGTGGGGTGTTCCACAGGCCCACACTGTCCTCACTCCGTCCCTCTCACCATCCGGGACAGCGGGGCCTCCTGTTATCCCCACATGACATCTCAGGAGGAGGCCCCAGGGCTGGGGGTGGGGAGGCAGTCTCTCGGGCCCCTCAAGCCCAACCCCCTTGTCCTTGGGGACGGCCGGACCATCGCCGGGACACAAATGACCAAATGACATTTGTGTAATACACATTCTCACCCCCAGGTGTATTCAGACTTCGACAAAAATCCACAAAATGCTTGCATGGAAGAAAAGGAAGCCAAGCTACAGATGAATTATTTGTCTCCATTTCTGCCTGAGTACGCGTCAGGGAGTCCATATTTGGGGGTCACTGTCCCAGTGGATGGCCCTCCTGAAGACATGAGGCCCCGCTCACAGGCTTGGTGAACATCCTCTAAGCCCTCGCAGTGGGAGTTTCTTTCCTTTTTTTGTTTTGCCCCTGAAGACCCATCTCGGGGGCAGGTGAGGGGCAGGGTTGTGAACGTGGGCCCAGGCCTGAGCCCACTCCATGAACACAAGCAGAAACCGCTTGAAAATTCCAGAAGGCACTGCTAGCAACAGGTCTCTGTGAATGTCAAGGCTGGGTCAAGGCCCAGGCCAAGCCCTGGCCTGCATCCCTCCCGCGCCATGGCAACTCTGGCCCGGATATAAACATCAACATCTCTGGCCCCCTGGGGCTGCGGAGCCAGCCTGACTCGGACATTCAAGCCTGTGTGAGGTCACTGCCTAAGGCCTGGAGTGGTTCAGAAGAGGGCTGGCGTGGAGAGCTGCTGCTTACTGGTGGCCTGGCCGAGTAAGTCCCCGAGGTGAGGGCGCCCCGGTGACTGCCTGGCTCTATCAGGACAATCCAGAGGTGGTGCTCGTGCCCAGACAGTGTTTCCCCACCTACCACAGACATGGGAGGTAGGATGTGGCAAAGCTGGCCGGGAGGGACGGGGATTTGGCTCAGGGGTTCTGCCATCGGCCTCGCAAGGGCCCGAGTTCGATCCCCAGGACCAAAAAGAGAAAGAAGAAAAAAAAGCTGGTTGGGAAATAAGCGGGACCTGTCCATGACAAGATCCCAGGGCCCCATATGTGGAATTTCTCTCAGGTTCCCACGAGATGTGCACAGCATGTAAGACACAGGCACGCGCTACTGTGACTCCTCAGATAGGGACTGGGATCACTGGAGCGCACTTTTATTTTTGCTTTCACCCTTTCCTCTCTCTGTTGGGCCCAAGTTCACTCTACAGAGCCAGTTCTTCCCTTGCCCTTCACCCCTCACTGTTCGAATAAACTTCTGGCACCATTTTTGGCTTTTCTCATCCAATTCTTTGTTGGAGGCAAGAAGGACCCGGATACTGTTCATTGGTGAGCCGTTTCTAAGGAACACCCTGACGACACCGTGACAAACTGCAGAGCTGTCTAACTGAGGAAAAGACACAAATCAGATCCTGAGAGTCCCTTGCTTAAAACCCTCCACTGCACTTAGCGTAAAATCCAAACCCCGCCGCGCGCTCTCCCTGGCCCCTGGCCCAGCTCCCTGAGCGTCTCTCCCACACCCTCCACTCTGGTCTTCCTGCTTTTCCAGAGCTCTAATGGGTCCCCACCTCCTGCTTCGTGGGCACTGTCCCCTCTGCTCGGAGCTCTTTTCCTTTGGCTTACGAGTGGCTGGTTCCTTCGAATCTCAGCTCTCTTTCACTTCCCACAACACACTACTCATTATGTCCCCACCGCTAAGCTGGCAGCGCCCTGAAGACCGGGTGCGGTTGGTGCTTTTACTGTAGGGATCCCAGCTGCAAGACCGGTGCTGGCACCAAGCTGCTCAAAGTGTGTTTATAGAAAGAATGGGACAGCGCAGGCAGCTTCCAGGGTGAGCCCCAGCACGGAGCACGTGCCCTACACAGGGGGACCCAGCACACCCTGTCACCATGAGGAGGAAGCAGGGCCATTCCTGGAGGGTGACGATAACATCTCTCTCTCTCCTTTCCCGCATCTCTTTGGAAAGTCAGAGATAACCAGACATGCCCCGAAGGCAGTCCCTGCCTGGGCTCCAGTCTCAGGAAGATGCCAGGACTCTGGCAAAGGGCACTGCAATCACACGGGGCGGGTGGCCTTTGCGGGCCGAGCAGGGCTCACTCACTGTCCACGTAGAACACGCCCACTTTGTCCGCGTCTGACATGGAGATGTAGAGAACCATCTCGTACCCCGCGGGCAGGCGGTCGGGTCCCTTGGTACGCAGGATCATCTGGGACATGTCTTTGAGGTCTGGGGACAGCGACACGGGAAGGTTAGCAGGAAGGGACTGCTGCAGGGACCGCTGCCTTTCATGTTGAAATCAGGAAAGGGACGGGGTAACACGTGTATTATGAGAACCACGGGGAAGCATAAAAAACCAAACAGCCAGGTGCAGAGGTGCCCAACTGCAACCCGAGCACTCTAGAGGCTGAGGCAGGAGGACTGCAAATTTGAGCCCAGCCTGGGCAATTCAGCAAGACTCCGTCTCAAAATAAAAAATAAAAAATGGGTGGGACCAGGACCTGTCATGTAATAGTACAAGATCCCAATGATAAATGTAACTGTACTGTATACTTAAAAAGTACCAAGAAGCTCAATGAGAAAAAGCAAAGAATATTGCTAGAAACTATAGAAGAGAAAGTGGGAAAAAATGGGCTGGTGCTGTAGCTCGGTGTAAAGGTCTTGTGTTCAGTTTCTAGTACTAAAAAAAGAAAAAAACAAACAAAGGAGAAGGAAAGACTGGTTGTCACCTTCAATACCAGAGATGACCCCTGCTAACCCTTTGAGAATTTACTTTTGAATCTCTTTCTGCTTGTGTAAGTTTGCTTGTTTTTGGTACCAGGAATCGAACTCGGGACCTCTTGTTTCTGAGGCAGGTAGTGGAACCACTGAGCTCAATCCCCAGCCCTGTTTGCTTTAAAATGTGGTTCCAGTTGCACTGTATTTACAGTTCTGTCTTCTGCTTTGAGCTCAAGTGGATATTTGAGTCTGCTGCCCCCAGGAGGCCCAAGTCCCCACCCACCGCACCCTGCCCCGGACAGGAGCGATGCTTCCCTCGCCCCTGATCCCCCGTGTGGCCCTGCAGGACCTTGCTTGCTGTAGACCTTCTCATCACTGCAGTCCTCCGTGGGCAGCCAGGGCGTGTCTCGGTCACAGTTCACCAGCAGGATGGCTCCCTGGCCCTCGGGGCCCCAGGTCCAGGACGCCTGCGGCGGCAGGGAGGGAGGTCAGTGCTCTCTTCCCTCTCCCAGCAGACCCCGAGGGACACTGCAGAGACAGCCCAGGGTGAAGTAAAGAGAAGTCACCACACAGCTGTGACCTGATGGGCATCAATCCCGAGAGAGGACCCCTGAGAGCTTCTGAGTCAGGTTCGAGTGGGGTGGCGAGACAGGAAGGCCAGAAAGGGCAGGCGACCTCACCTCTGAGCCAGGGAGGAGGCAGGAAGGAGGCCGAGGCAGAGGAACAAACAGATGGATATTCTGGGAGAGGCCCTAAGGTCCCCTAGGATGGTGGCCACCAATATTTTTGGCACGGCAGACCAGTTGCTTGGGAGACAACTTTCCATGGACTAGTATAGACTTCTTTGTGTTTCTTTTTTAAATGATTAGCATGTTTGTGATACGTAATAGTTACATTCGCCAGGATTACAAAATTGCACCCCTCCGCTCCACCCCAGATCATCGGGTTAGATTCTCATAAGGCGTTCAGAAGCTAGATGCTCCCATCCACATGCAACTCACAGAAGGGTTCGCGCTCCTATGAGAATCTGAGGCCACTGCTGACCTAACAGCAGGCAGGGCTCCGCCCCAGCGCAAGAGCTCAGCTGCTGTGCGGTGGGTGCCTACGGGTCCATGGCCCAGTGTCTGGAACCCCTGCTGTTTTCTTCTGTGTTTTCTCCACACACTAGGAGAATTGACTCCAGCTCATCCCATCATGTTGCTTCCTGCATAAGCCCTGACTCTCGATTCCTCACCGCAGCCTGCAAGGCCCTGTGGGACCGCCGGCCCCTCCATCTGCCTCCTCCACCTGGTCCCCAGTTCTTCCTTTTCCACCCACACGGGCCCCGTCTCTGTTTGCAGACGCCCCGCTCTTGGGCCTTTGCCCACACCGGCCCCTCCACCCGGACCACTGTTCTTTTTCTTTGGCCGATTCTACCCTCTTCCAGTCTCCGCACAACTGGGCCTTCTCCAGGAAGCCTTTCGGATGCCCAGACCACAGCAGTGTCCCTGGGTCCACACATGACACCGCACAAGGCTTTTAGGGAGCCTTAGGGTGACTGTGACGACACAGCCATCCATGCCACTCTCCCCTGAACATGGGGCTCCGCCTGGACTGTGGGCTCAAGGGCAGGTGCTGGGTTTCTCCTGTTCTCTGTGCAGCCCTGGGCATGATCTAGTCCTGGAATATCAAAGATGCTCAACAAGTATTTATGGGTTTCGAAAGAAAACGTGACCACTTCACAGGTCCAGGTATAGAGATTGCCAGTTCAGGTTCACAGGGGCTGGGTAACTTGGCCAGGATTGCTCAACCCTCTGGAGAGGCCGAAAGCCTCCTCCCAGGGGTTGCTGAGCCTCAGAGCCTCTGTGGAGCCCACTGCCACGTGGCTGGGCCGTGGAGACTGAGTGTGTAGGAGCCCAGCTATGCAGCCCGGAAGGAGGGGCTCCTCATGAGGCCCGAGGCCACTGCCCGACCTGGACAGAGTTGCTGCTCACTGGGATGTATTCATTTTATGTGTGTGTGTGGTGCCAGAGATAGAACCCCGGGCCTTACGCACACTAGGTACTACAGCTACTGAGCTCTACTGTCCGACTGTGCTTCACTTTTAAGAATACTTATCCGACTGGGGGTGTAGCTTAGTGGGAGAGTGCTTGCCTAGTAGTCATTAAGCCCTGGGTTTCATCCTAAGCACGGAAAAAACAACAAGAAAGCATTCAAGTCTTCATCACTAACCTAGGTGTCAGACTGTTTGTATAAGAACCACGCATATGCCTGTGATAAAATATAAATGACACAAAGGGCCAAAAACTAAAAAAAAAATTGTTAGAAGCAAGAGCCCAGATATACACATAAAAAAACCAACGGTGCTCAAAGACTGGGTTGGGGGAAAAGCACAAAACCGCGAGAGACGGGAAGCATCACACTAGCTGCATAAATTAAAAACATACACCCATCCCATGGCGTTCCCCAAGGACCGCAAGGACCGAAAGAGACACACTGACCATTCGGTGGGCCTTGGTGGGAGCCAGAGGGCGCGGAGGGTGCAAGGTGCAGAGGGCAGGTAGAGGGGCGAGGGCACGAACGGACTAAGATAGCGACAGGAGCAGGCCCGCAGGAACAGACGCAGGCGGACGGTGGGATGGAGGCGGCCCTCTGTTCCTTGGATTTAAAACTAAAAACTGGCACACATTGCAGCATGACCTCTGTGGCAGACGCGTTTGTTCTTTTCGACAGCTCAGCCAGCGGGGTGGGGACACAGAGTCTGGTCCCTGCTCTGCAGCTGACCCCGTAATCTTCGGCCCTGCGAAGGGGAGCTGTCGGCTTGGCAGGGGCCCACCGCCGATGCAGGTGCAGGCCGAGCCTCCGCCCCTCGGAAGCCCCTCCCCTCCCTCCCCGAGGCGGCGTCCACCCGAACAGCTTGTACCTTCTTTGGGTTGTTCTTCTCTACCACGCCGTCCCGGTCTGCGTCCACATCCAGGGAGATCTCTGGGGACAAGAGACAGAGGTGAGTGGCTGACCCTACCAGACAGGGTGCAGGACGCAGGGGAGACCCGTGGGACACAGGGCTGCAGCTTACCTGTCGTTCAGCTGCTGGAAAAGGAGCATCTTTTGCGAGGTCACCTTCCCCGGCTCCCTGCCTAACCCTAACCTCCACCCTCTTCCCTAGGGACCTCACTGGGATGCTGTGTGCCCGGCAGCTCCCAGCTTCTGCAGTGCTATCCAGTAGTCAGGGTTGCCCTAGTCCTGGGCGGGGGTGAGGCCTGATCCTCACTCCCATCTGGGAGCAGCGAAGTCACATGCCCAAGGTCACACAGGTGGCTTCAGCAGCACCAGGTGCATTACAATCGTCTATTTTGCTTCTATTTTGAAATTGTACCAGCCGGGCATGGTGGTGCACGCCTGTAATCCCAGCAACTGGGGAGGCTGAGGCAGGAGGATCACTGTCAGTTTGAGGCCAGCGTGGGCTACATAGCGAGTTCAAGACCAGCCTGAACTACATGGCAAGACCCTGTCTTAAAAAAAGAAAGTACCAGCACAGGATTTTTCCAGTCTGACCCTGTGTGTGTCTCTGTGTGCATGTGCAAGCCTATGTGTCTGTGTCCGGTGTGCACATGTGTGACTTTCTCTCTTTCTCTCCCCAAACTCCTAGTAGTCCTGCCCCAGCTGTGAGGACTGAGGAATTTCCTCTCGGTGGGAAACAGGATCTCCAACCCCTCTGGATTTGAGTTGCTTCCAATACAGGGCTGCGTCCTTGCCTCAGGTAGGTGGACCAGGGCAACGTCCTTGCTTACGCCTTTTCCCAGGGAGGGAGCACCACCATTCCTGGACCTATCAGGGAGACAGGCTTCGAGGAGACTGTGGGGCAGTGAAAACACAGCACTGGGTTGGACCCCTGGTTCTCTGCTTATGAGCTGTGTGACTTTGGGCAGGTCAGATAAACTCTCTGAGCCCGTTTCCTCACTTACCAATTGTGTGACCCTTTCCAGTTATGGCACTGGGTGAATGGCAGGGCCTGCTTACATTTTTTTTTTTTTTTTTTGGTATCAGGGATTGAACTCAGGATCTTGTGCTTTCGAGGCAGGCGGCAGAACCACTGAACTAAATCCCCAGCCCCCTACCTACATCTAAACCAGGCAATTTTGGTTTCGGGGACTATGATGTTTAGCAGCATCCTGGCCTCAACCCACAAGATGCTATCACACCTCCCAGCTGTGACAACAAACGGCCTCGGGAGACTATGTTGCCCCTTGCAGGCACTGGGGGTGGCACTGGGTGAGACGCGCTGGTCCCAGGCCCTGGAGCTGCCCCCGAGGGCCTGGTCCACTCAGATACAACTTGGAGCGTGGTGGGAGCGGGTGGGAACGAGAGCACCCTGGTCTGGCCCCTTAGCAGGTGGCCCTGTGCCTGGATGGGCTGGGAGGAGGGTCCCGTACAGGACGGGTCCCCACGTCACCCTTCCCGCGCGGCTCAGCCCCTCTCCAGTTCAGGGATCTCATTCAAGTCCTCCCCTTGGCCATAGTCTGATTCCCTCCTAATCCTGACTGGCTTTTGTGGGTGTGGGAGGAGGTGGAGGGTGGGCCAGGAGGCCCTTGAAAGCGGCACCTGCAGGATCCGAGGGTCGCACTCCTCCCTCTGGTGCACGGTCCGCCCAACACCTGGGAGGGCGCGTGTGCTGTGGCCGGCCCGGGCGAGGCACTGGAGCCTGCAGTCCTGGGGGGTACAGATCCTCTCCCCGTGTGCACGGCTCCCCCACCCCCCAGCTGCAGGGCACCGTCCCTTGCACAGACTCCTTTCGGTAGCCCCAGGGGTGGAGTCATCACCCCCTCCCCCGGCAGTGCGATGAGGGTACCGAGGTGCCCGGCAGGAAAGAAGTGACCCCCAAAGTCAGGCTTCCCACTTGGGCCTCCAGGTCACTGTTTTTTCCACCCAGCCACAGACCCAGACTGAGCTCTGACTGGCCCAGCACCTCCACTGCCCCCTCAGCCGCTCCCTGAAGGTCACTGGCAGAGGTGGCCTCATTCCACCCTGGTAGCCCTGTGACTTTTGTCCCTAGACTGCAGGGTGACGGTGAAGCTCTTGCGGGTTGTCCCTTAGAGCAGCGGCCACCGGGGAGGAATGCTGGGGTACTTTCAACTGCTTTGCTGCAGGGGTTTCTTACCATGAAAAATTTTATCCCTGTGACATTTGCATATAGTGCAAAAAAGTCAAATCAAATGCCAAACTTTCTAAAGGAAAGCAGCTGCCCCGTCTAGCTTGTCCTCTTCCCTCCCTGATACTAAATAATATGCTTCTTGCTCTCTCCTGGTTTGACAAACTCAGATGCAGGCCTCACTGCCTTCCTGTTGTGAAATTTGAACGTTTCAAAACCAGGCCTCTTATCGCCTCTTCCCAGCCTCCACAGCCACTGTTTCTCTCTCTGGCCCCACGACCAGTCCCAAGTCAACTGAAATGCCCTCCTCTGCCCTCCACCCCTGCCCAGAGCTCCCCGGAGGCTTCCTCGTGTCTGTCCAGATTCCATTGGGGTGAGGCACAGAAGGACAGCGGGCAGGGCTGGCACGCCTCGCCCAGGGCCCTGTCCTCCTGGGAGGGCTCTGCCGTCCCAGGGGAGGAGGGAGAGGACACCTGTTTCAGGGCCTCTGGGTCCCAGACATTTCCCAGAGGCCCTGGATCCTACCTCAGCTCCCCAGAATAGCTCCGAAGTGTCGGGTGGCGCCTGGGTGTGGGGAGGCGAAGGCGAAATGTCACTAGGATTGGGTTCAAGACAGTCTGCACTGAGAATCAAGACCCCGAGGGCTCAGCAGGCTGCCAGCCCACGGACAGTGGCAGGGTACTGGTCTGCCTGCCCTAGTGAGCTGCTTGGGATGTGGCGGGGAAGATGGGACCCCCTCAAACCCAGACAGTCATGCGGGCTCTGGGAGGGGCACATGGATGAGCTCCCCAGGCAGCGCTAAACTTCCCGAGGCCCGTGTGTGTGTGTGTGTGTGTGTGCGCGCGCACACGCGAAGGGACTGATCCATCGTTCAGCCTCAGCCAGGTGTGTGGGGCCATTCCCCACCTGCCATCTCTGCCACTGTCCTTAGAATAGGAAGCTTTTCAAATTATCCTACTGGGAATCTTCAGTGTTTCCAGGGATTAATTCATTCAAACCCTTCATCGTAGAGCTGGGAAAAGGTGAGGCCTGGGCTACTTTCAAGGTCACACAGCAAGTGCCTGCGGGACTGGGACCAAGAGGTGACCTGACTGGAGGCCAAAGGTGCCATAGGTCTGATCCTAAATCCCCAGAAGTAGGCTGTGGGATAGCTACTTCCTCTTCCCTGGGCTCCCCAGGGAGGAAGGAGAAGACAGCATCCCCTCAGCCTCTGTCCTGGGCCCCGGCCACAGGCCCTCTGCACATGCCACCCACCCGAATCCTCAGAAGCACAGCGCCTGGATTAGAAGTGGAGGCTCAGGAAGGCGATAGAACTTGTACAAAGTCACAGTGCGGCTGGAGAGGCCAGGGTCAGGATTTATTCCTATCTGAAGCCAGGGCTTTTTCTGCTCCGTGCGGGTAGAGCAGAATGTGGCCAGAAGGATTCAGATAAGGATCCCTTGCAGAATTGGTCCCGTCCTCTGGGAACATTTAGAATGTCCCTGCCTCTGAGCGCTGCCTCTGGGTGATCCCCGTGTGGGGGCTCAAGGCATCCCGGGGTAGCCGCCCAGGCGAGCAGAAGACAGGGTGTGGGCAGGGCAGATAGACCAGCGGTTACCAGGGCCACCTGAGAATCACCAGGATCCCTCAGCCCAGGAAGCATAGACTCAGTGGGGTGAGTGATATTTTCTGAATGTAAAGTGACTTTTTTTGGCACCGAGGATCGAATTTAGGACCTTGCACTTGCAAAGCAGGTGGCAGCACCACTGAGCTAAATCCCCAGACTGTGAAAGTGTCTTTTACCCCGAGCGGCTGTCCTGCCTACTTTATAGGTGTTAAAATTATGAAGATAGTTGATGGCAAATTGTTTTAAAGACTTTTTTTTGCCACACATTTAAGTTTTTTCCTCTCTCTTTCCCTCTCCCTGTCTCTCTTTCTCTTTTTGGGGCAGCCGAGGGGAACATTTTCCTGGTCCATAGAAGCTAAGTATCTGCACCCTGTGGCAGTTTAACAAATAAAAGCTTGGCGACAGCAACTCAGAACCTTGTGGACAAAGGTGGTCCTTTGTCTCGGGCACAGGCGGCACTTTTGGAACTGAGCGCCGTCCTACCCTGAGCAGCGTCCCCTGCAAACCACCTCCTGGTCTAAGGCTCCTTGTGCCATCTCTCCTACGCACACCTTGCTTTGAGCACATCCTCCTGGCACAGAGGCGGGATCACCTTTACTTCACGGCCTCTGGCCTCTGCCCTTCCTGCCCGTGTCCTCAGGGGTTCCTGTCTGTGGGGCTGGGTTTCCTCCAGGGTGGTCATTCAAGACAGCGGGGGGCTATGTGTGCACGTGAGGGTCATACACGCGCCAAGCCTCAGGACAACCGGGGGCGTCTAGTTACCACTTCCCAAGGCTTCCTGAGGCCCCCAGGGTCCCCGGCTGTCCGGCAGCCAAGCCTTACTTGGGAAGGAGCTGAGAAGCAGAGAAGCTCTGTTGCTCAGCCTGGCACAGGGTGCAGGAAGGTGGGGGGCCGGCCTAGGGACACCCCAAGAGCCCAGAAAGTGAGACGGAGCCAAATGATTCGGAGGCCACCAGCTGCCCTCTAGGTGTGTAGCCTCAGACAGCTTTCTGTTTGCTTGCTTTGCTTTTCTGAGCCTTGGTTTACTCCTCTGTAAAATGGGATAATAATGGCCTTTACCCTTGGAATCCTTGAGAGAAGAGATTGAAACCACGACTGTAAGGTGTGTGGCATGCTGAGGGTAAATTCTCACTGTTTATCTTTCTCCTCCTCGTTCACACCCATCACGGCCCGGACACAGCTGGGGCGCCGGAAGTGGGAGACAGCGTTGGGATTTCTGAGAAGCCCTTAGCACACGGTCGTGCTCAGTATTCTGTCCCACGCCAGGTGGCAACTCTGTCTGTGTAAGACCACGCCGCCGGGACAGACAAAGTGACTCTGAAGTAAGTGCCCCTGGCTAAATTCTATGATAGGAACAGAAAAGGAAATAACTCCTCAACGGGTTGAGCGATTGAAAGTTCAGAAGGTCACGTCCCGGTTCCCTGCCATGAAGGCCTGGCACCCAGGACAGGGCAGTAGGGTGTGGTACAAGGGCCCAGAATCATCCTGAGTGTTGGACTCAACCTGCCAATGGGCTGTTGCGTGACTTCAGATGAGTTTTCTAACCTCTCTAGGCCTCACCATCCTTGTGGGTCGAACGAAGGGCTTGGACCAGGTGAGCTATGGACCAGGGGTGCATCTCTGTGGACCCAGGACCGGGCTGGAGCAGGGGAGGAGCTGGGACACATCTAGGACCAAGCTGCAGGGGAGAGGCAGGGAGGGACAGGCCTTCAGAGCCAGTGCTGGGGACCTGACGCAGGGCGAGTCCTCTGCCAGGGGTGCGTGAGGTCCCTGCACGGCCGGCGCTACTGTGAGGAGCCTCCAGGGGCCAGGCCTACATCACCGAACTGAGCCTGGGCTGCGGGGGAGGTGGCCAAGCCACAGTGCCGCCAACTCACCGATGGCCGTGAGGAAGAGTCCAGCCTGGTCGATGGGGCCGCTGCCCTCCTCCTCATAGTAGTTGACGGTGACCTTGGGGGCGTGGGGATAGAGAGGAGCAGCGATCAGAGACCCCCCCAGGAGGGCAGGGTAGCCACCCCATCCTCTCCAGACACCCGGACCTCCCCTCCGAAGTTCTCCTGGGTTGTCTCCTGCGGCCGCCTCCCCCGCAGGACTGAGCTGGGCGGCTGTGTGCTGGGAGCCCCCCGTACCCCCAAGCAGCCTTCACTGCCTTCAAGAGGGCTCCGTATCAGTTCAGCCCCACATCCACCTTGTAAGCTAAGCTCTCGGGGCACAGGGCTCAGGATGGCAAGGGGCAGGGGGCAGACAACTCTGGTCTTGGCTTCTCCAGGTGGGCAAATCCCCCCCACCAGGGCTCCATGCCCCGTGCAGACAGTGAGACCCAGGGTGCTGGGTCCCCCAAGAATTCTGTGGCTCTGAGTGTCCCTTCCCATCCCTCAGCTGTCCACACTGTGACCTCTAGGAAGCCATCAGCCCTTAGCCCGGGGCCACTGAGCTCTCTGAAACATGGCTGGTCCGCACTGGGATGTGCTGTAGATACGAATTCAGTTTACGCACAAAAAAGGGGTATAAACTATCTTGTTGTTTTAAAATTTAACATAGGTCAAAATGATAACTTGATGTATGGATTTAAATAGGGTATATTAGGAAAATTAATTTTGCCTCTTTTTGGGAGGTACATGGTACTGAGGGTTGAACACAGGGCCTTTGCACTGAGCTATACTCCAGCCCTTTTTATTTTTTTATTTTGAGATAGGGTCTCACTAAGGCATCAGGTTGCCCAGGCTAGAGTCAAAGTTGTGACCCTCCTGCCTCAGCCTCCAGAAAGCATGCCATCTTGCCTAGCCAATTTCACCTCGTTCTCTTTTGGTGTGGCTGTTAGAAAAGTGGGAAAACATACACAGCTCTCACTTTGGGTCAGGGATGCTCTCCTCTGCCCCTGCCCCAGCGTGGCCCTGGGATCCTGCAGTCCAGGATCAGGACTCCCCTGCTCTGGTACCTTATCGCTGCTGGGCTCGGTGCTGGCCTGGCTCATGGTGAGCCGCAGCGTGGTGCTGGGTGAGAGAGCCCAGCGCTGTTTGCCGTTGGTGGCCACCTCCTCGGCTTCCCCATCACGTACCACCTCCACCAGGACATGCTCTGAGTGCTTCAGACTGAAGGTTCTGGCCCCGGCTGGGGCTGCGCTGTAGGGAGAGAGGACAGAGGGTCAGGGGAGCCCTGGGGCGGGTGGAACGAGGGGCTTCAGGATGAGACTCCTGGAGGGGCAAGAGGGACAAGGCTCCAGGGCCTCCTGGGTCATCTGGTCTTGGGGACAACGGACCCAGACTGGCAGTCACCTGGTGGTAGAGGACACTGGCTCCGTGCACAGATTCCTGGGCCGGGCTCCACCTACTGAGTCAGAGTTTTAGAGCACATGGCCTGGAGACCTGAATCCTTCACTGTTTTTGAGGTGCTAGGGATGGAACCCAGGGCCTCATGCTTGCTAGGCAAGTGCTGTCCCGCTGAGTTACGTGCCAGTCCCATTAAGACCTGAATTCTTTTTTTCCCCCCTTTGGTACCGGGGATTGAACTCAGGACCTTGCACTTGCGAGGCAGGTGGCCGAACCACTGAGCTAAATCCCCAGCACAAGACCCGAATTCTTCATGCAGATCACACCTCATCACAGGTGCCTTCTTCAGTTCGCTTCGGGAATGTGTGGCCCTGCAGGGCTGGATGACTGAGCCTGGGACAGAGGGATAAATTTGCTCCAGCAACAGACAGAACCTTGACTCCCTGTCACCGAGTGTCACCGAGCAAGGGGCTGACTGAGTTCTCACAAGGACACAGCCTGGAGCTCTGGGTGGTGTCTCTGTCACAGAGCCCCCTCTGCCTGCCAGTTGTTTTTGGCCTGTATTCTGCATTCCTTGGGGCTCAGGATAGTTTTCCACTGAGAGGGAAATACTCTGGGAATTCTGAAATGTATGAGACTTTAGGGTGGGAGAATTTGGGGTTCCCATGTGACTGCTGTGGGCTGTCTGTGATCCCCAAATCTACCTGTCGTAGCTTTAGGCCCAGTGTGGTGGGGTTGGGTGATGGGGCTTTCAGAAGGATTCTCAGGTCACAGGAAGTCACCGGCAGGTTCTAACCCAATAGGATTGGCGACCTCATCAGGAGAGAGCCCCACCCCCGGCCACGCACACTGAGGAAAGGCCCTGGTGACAAGGGCCTTGCTCACAGGTGCCCTCTACAGCATGTGCTTCCGGTTTCCAGAACTGTGAGGCAACGAACAGCCTGTGGTGTTTGGTTATGGCCACCTGAGCTGACTAAGATGCTGGCTTAAGAGGAGGTGACAGGAAGGTGGGGAAAGGGGAAGGCACCGAGGGCTGAAGGTCTTGCTGAATTCAGCGTCAGTGTGAGGGTCCCAAAGGACACAGAGGGCTCAGAGGCGTCCAGGCGGGATTCTTGTGGGATTTGCGACTCAGACACAGTCCTGGGGTGGATCTGCCTTTCTCTCTTTCAGAATCTGGACTCTGATGGGCTTCAGAACAACATGGGTGCTGTCTGAACCTTCAGGGAGGGTTCTGAGGGCCGCAGACGTGTGTGGATCCCGTCCCTGGGAGTCTGCCTGATGCGGCTGAGGTGAGGCAGGGGCCACTGGTCATGTGACCGGGACAGGCTGGGTCTGGATTCTGAGTTCGGTCCTGGCGGGGCTGGGGTGGGCCCAGGATCTGCCCTCTCTCCTGTTTCCAGGAACTGTTGGTGCTGCTGGTGGAAGGGCCCACTTGGAGGGCCCCTGGTCTGCAGGTCCATCAGCTCCAGGGGTCAGAGCCCCAGGGGGCCAAGGCTGTAGGTGTCAGGCTCCAGAGGCTGCTGAGCAGTGTCTCTCTGACCCTGGCCACAGTCTGGGGCTGAGGCTGTAGCTCAGAAGCAGATCACTTGTCCACATGCACAAGGCCCTCGGTCCCATCCTTAGCACCACAAGGGACAAATAATGACACATAAACAGCAAACTGCTGCAGGGGCCACTGGCTGAGAGCCTGGTTTTGGGCACCAGAGGGGATAACGAGCAGAGCTCAGCAGCCCATTCCTGGTGTTGGCGGAGGAGCTCAGACAGAAGCTGTCCTTGTCCTGCCACCCCTTCCAAAGTCCTCAGCCCCTCAGAAGACGCTGGGCAGAGCCATGGCCAACTGCCCCAATCACATCGTTAGGAGAGGCAGAGCCAGGCAGAGCCCTGGTCTCGGCTCCGGAGGTGGAAGATCTGGGTCTGAGCCCAGTTTTGCCTCGTCCTGGCTGAGGGGCCTTGAGTCTGGGGTTGGGGGAGGCTCCGGAGAGCACGTGCCTCTCTGCTGGACCCCTGTCCCCTGTAACAGCACTGCTGCCCAACTGAGCTTCTGCACATGGTCCTGGTGCTTTACAAACTCACGCAAGAGGATGCTCCCTCAGGACCTGACGTGGTTCCTGTGCTGATGCTCCTGCCCGCCTTCAGCCACCTGGGCCAGTGAGAAACCCGAGCAGGCCCCAGAGGGCCCAGAGGGTTAGTAGCCGGCCACATCAGAGCCGCGGGGTCCCGCGCCCTCCTCCCGCGCCAACCCTGCTCCGAGCCCAGCCGAGCAGACAGCTATTCTTGGAGCAGCGGCCCTGGCAGAAGCAACAAAGGCGCCATTGTCCCCCAGGATCCTGCTGGCAGCCTCCCTCCCCAGGAAGCTCCTCTCAGACAACCCTGCAGCAATCCGAGAGCTGCTGTGGCCCCTGGGGGCTGGGGGACCCAGAGCACTCTGGGAGGAAGGAGCCGGCTGGAGAGAGGCAGACAGAAGGACAGACTCTGTCCTTGTACCAACACCTGCACTGTGGTCCAGCCCTGGGGCCTGGCCATGGCTCCGTGTGTGCTTTGGGAATAAACGGGTGAGCGAAGCCCTCCCTCTTGGCTTTCCACGTTGTAGTTCTGGAGCGATTTTTAAAGAGATTGGAGCCGGGGATTTAGCTCCGTGGTGCCGCCACCTGCCTCGAAAGCTCAAGGACCTGAGTTCGATCCCCGGTACCTAAATGAATAAATAAGTACATAAATAAGAGAGAGATAGAAATCGGTCAGAAGTCCCTCTTCAGCCTGGCACTCACGGGGTGGCATTTAGCCGGACCGTCTCGCCGCCCTCCTGCCACCCTCTGACGCCTCTGCCTCGTTCCATCTCACTTCTGCTGTCCCTTCCACCTGAGATTCCCTTCCCGGCCTTCACCGCCTTCTCTGCGAACGTCCACTGCTCCCTGAAGACCCAGCTCCGTGGGTGTGTGCCCATGTTTATTTTCCCTGGTGGCAGTAGGCTCCTTGAAACGAGGGCACAGGTATCTTCCTTGTTTTATCATTGGATCTGAGCCAGCACAGGCACGCAGCGAGCACAAGCCTTGCGGGAGGAAGGCTCGGAGAGGAGGGCTCTGCTTGCTCACACGGCCGCTCACCCGTTCCCCACTCCTTTACAGACCACTTACAGCACGCCGGGCACCATTCTGTGTGGCAGGGGTAGACGGGGAAGAGACAGCCCATTCCCGGGCCCACAGAGTTCATAGTATAGGGAGGGAGAAAGACTTTCAGTAAGTGACACAATGGCTTGTGTGATTATGGGTGACACAATGGCTTGTGTGATTATGGGCCGAAGGACACAGTCTTTCAGGGACGGCCATCTGAGTTGGGCCGAAGCATTAAACAGTTCAGGTGGACGGGGCAGTGGGGATAAGGGGCGGCGATGAGGGATGAGTATGATTAAGAGACGCGCATGCGTGAAGGTGCCTCAGGGAACCTCAATTTCAGAAAATTCATACGCACTGATAAAGATGTGTCTATGGAAAAAGAGTTAATGAAACCGGAAGACCTTGCTTTAAATGTACATATGAGGCTAGGAAAAGACAGGTCACTGGGTCCAGGCCTGTATTTCGGACTCAAGTCTGGGCGGAGCCTAGGAAACCCCATTTCGAACAGAGGTTCTAAAAGGTTCGCCATCACTGGAGCAGAGGGACCAGTGCAGGAGCCCAGGGAGGTGGCGGTGGTGGCAGCTTGGGACTGGATGGTGGCCAGGGAAATGGAAGAGGCCGGGAGGCCAGTGTCAAGCCAAGGACACCTGCGGAGCTGCCGTCCCCTCTGGTTTTCGTCCCATTCAGTGGGGAAGGTTGCTGGCTTGGCCCTGCAGGGCTGGGCGGCCCGACACACCTGCTCCCAGCTGGCACGGGCTCTCCGCGGCCCCACCTGGCCGCACCTCGTTAACACTGGCGGGGCTCACCCTCGGGGTGAGCCGGCTCCTGGCAGCCTGGACACAACGGCCTCGCCTCAGGGCTTTGGAGGAGTTGGCAGGGGGAGTTGTGGGCGCCAGCCTGGCACACGACCCACAGCGAGCACTCTGGAGGGCAGAGGAAAGAGGGAGCTGCGGCCTGGGCCGGGAGGGTCACGGTCCAGGCCTCACATCGGGTGCTCGGTACAGTGGTGGGTGCAGCCCTGAGCGCGGGCAGCCTGGACAGGGTTCGGAGAGGCACACCCTGTGTCTGTCCACTGCCAGCCTCCTCCTGCACCGGTAGCCATGGTGGCCTCTCACCAGGCCCTGGTGCTCCAGCTGCCTGGGCCTCACCTTAGGAATATGGCAACCTAGTTTTTTATGGTTATTCCCTTCCTCGGGAGCCTTCAGTGACTCCCTACTACCTACAGAACAAAGTCCAGCACCTGAGCTGAGCCTTCAAAGCCTTGGCTGAGCTCTCTGACCTCAAGCCTTCCTCTCCAGGCCACCAAAGCACTGCTCTTTCTGCCTCAGTGGCCACCTCTGCAGGAAGTCTTCCGGATCCCACCAGCCAGAACGCAACCCTCTCTCCCTCTGCTGCTGCCTCAAACAGCACTTAACAAACCACCTAAGCACCCTTTTCAGGTGTGTTATGGGCTTGTCCTAATTTGCTTTACTAATATAAGTCCACTTCCCATACTATCTTTGCTACTTACTAAGTGGGAGGGTTACCAAGCCCATGCCGATGCCCCCACGTTACAGGCGCGCACACCGAGGCCCGCAGAGGGCCAGAGCCAGCTCCGAGTCTCAGGGACAGTGTGAGGTGGACTCGAGCTCCCCGAGGTGCAGGCCTGGCTGCTCCTTCCCTGGGGAGAAGCCACAGGTGAGAGTCTTCCCTGCGGTCCTCCAGGCAGGGGCTCCTGGCTCTGGAGAGCAGCAAAAGAGAGGCCTCTACTTGTGTCACAGATGGGAGTCACAGTGCAGAGTCCTGGCCGGCTGTCCCGGGCCCTTGGGTGAATGTCCGAGGTCAGTGGAGTGGGTGGACAGGGCCCTTAGGTGCAGGGTCTGGCATGTGGGCAGGAGCACGGCTTCCCCTGATGACTGCCAGGCACGCAGGCCAGCGGGGGCGGGCAGAGGGTGAGCCCCTGCCACGGTGCCCCTGCCCTGACTCAGGGATCCCGGCCGTGCCAGGGAGTGGGGGTTGGGCGCGCAGGGTGCCAGGTCCGCTGCAGCTGAAACCGGAGCCTGGGCAGCTCCCGGCAGGGCCTCCTCTCAGGGTTGAGGACTCTGGCGCTGTTCTAATTTATGGGGCCGCCTGACTTGGGCCGAATTCCCCGCTCCGACATTCTTTCTCAGGGCCAAGCCTGCGGGCCAAGCTCGGCCCCACGCCCTTGACCTTCCAGGGCCCCGTCCAGCGGTGTCCACCCCTGAGGCTGGGCGTGTGGAACGTGGCTCCGGGCCAGGCTGGGCCACATCCATTTATCCATTCGCTCAACCCGAAGGCTCCACAGGCTTGGGGCCTGCACATGTGGGGAGGCGAGAGGGCCTGACATGCAGCCCCCAGCAAGGGCGGGACAGGGCGCTGCCCACCCCTCACCAGCTGTGCCATCTCAGACCAACACTGCTGTCTTCCCCTCCCCAACAGGCTGGTGGCAATAATAGCACAGCATCATGACACTGTTGTGAGGTTTAGATGCTGGTAAATTGTAAGTATGTGTGAGGAGAGCATGCAGAATTAGAAAGGCTGCCAGGTACCTGAGAAATACTTAATACATGTTAGCTGGTAACATTCGATGAATAATAAGGAAAAAGAAGAGGGTACGGAGATAGAGTGCCCAGGGCTCAGAGGGGGGCATGCAGGCATGTGGGCAGACAAAGAAGACTGCCTGGGCAAAGTGACATTTGAACTGAGTCTTGACTGATGTGAGCCAGGTGTGGGGAATAACAGGTGCAAAGGCCCTGGGGTGGGGAACGAGCTTGGTGCATTCAAGAGCTAACACCAGAATGGAGTGTGGGGAGCAAAATCTAGCAGATGGGACTGATGTGGTGTGGGGAGAGGAGCCTGTGGTACCTCGGGGCCCCACTGCTGCGAACTGGACTCAGACCCTCCTGGCCTCGGTCCTAATGACACTTTAAAAAAAAAAAAAACCCAAAAACAGATAAATCCCCAGCACTCACACCAACCAAGAGACAGAGAAAACCTGGGAGAGAGTGGAGAAGAATCTGAATTCTCTATGCTCTTCCCTAATGAGGGTGCATGTCTGCATTTGCTTCCATTTTCCCAGTGCTTTCCTGAGCCCGAGTCTAAGAACCCTGCCCCGTCCCCTTCCCGGTCTTCTGCCGGAGAGTTGCTGGGCCAGGCCCAACAGAGAAAGCAGCCAGTCATCCTCGCCTTGGGGAACGCCGGGGAAGGGCAAAGGAACCACCCCCACCTGCCGCCCACTGTCACCCTAGGGGAGTAGCCAGCTAAAGGGACGACAGGGAGAGTTTGTGTGCAGGGTGCCGCACGCCAGACCTAGGACGGACACCCTGGGAATGCAGAAGGGAGTACTAGGTGCCCTCAACAACAACAGCCACAAAGCCCATTCTCTAGGGGAAATCTCCTCCCCCTTCCTGTGGGTAGGGCAGAGCTCGCTGGAGATTGGTCGTTGGAACGTGGCTAGGTGGAGGCAGGAGGCCTCTCCTCTGTGCTTGGAGGGAAGAGGCTTCATCGGAGCCTGGGCCTGGAGGACGTGGTGGGGAGGGAAGGGCTGCATGGAAGTGGATGGACAGTGGACAGGGCCGTGGTGGCTTTCGGGTCCTACGGGGTACAGCGGAGAACAAGAGCCTGAGTCCTGAGTTGGACAGGCACCGGAGTCCTGGGTGTCACCGGGAAAACGCTGCGTCTCTCTGAGGCTCACATTCCCACCTACAGAAGGGGTCGTCCACAGACAACCCCAGGTCTGTGACTGTAGAGAGAGCTGCTCACAGCACTCCCTGCTGCCACCGGTCCAGCAGGCACCAAAAAAGACACTAGCAGGAAGAGCCCCGTCTCAGTTTCCCATCCAGAGGGGCTGCCTTCTCCTAGACCCGAAAGTCTCTCAGGGCTGGGATTTGTTCCCTTCCTGCGGGTATAACCTGGGGATGTCTTGGTTGTCAGGACTGGGGATTGCTATAGGAGGCCAGGGATGCCCCTAAATATCCCACAGCTTATGGGACCACCCCCTCCACAAAGCTTATCTGGCCTCAAGTGCAACAGTGATTGAGAATCCCTCCTCTAAACCAGGCATGGAGGTGCACGCCTATGATCTCAGCACACTGAAGGCTGAGGCAGGAGGATCACCAAGAGATCAAGGCCAGCCTAGGGTACTTAGCAAGACCCTGTCTAAAAAACCTGAGAGAGAGAGAGAGAGACTCTGCAGACTTGTGGTGTGACCCGAACAGTGGCCACAGCACACGTGGCTGTGGGTGTGTGCAACGAGACCAGTTCACGCAGAGCTGTGCTGTAAGCGTAACACATTGCGTTTCAAAGATTTAGCATGAAACAAGAATGTCAACTATCTCATTAATAATCTGCATGTAGATTACATATTTGGATATGTTATGTTAAATAAAATATATTATGAAAACGAATTGCACCTTTTTAACTTTTAAAAAGCGTGGACTCAGACCACGGACCGAGACAGTGGGGCCTGCGGGACAGTGGTGGCTTCTGTCAGTTGGGGAGGACCTCAGGACCAGGGGAGGGTCTGGACCCATGTGGCTGTAGTTGCGTCCCAGGAAGGGCAAAGGGACCCCTCACTGCTCTGGCTTCTGTGCCCTCACTGGCCTGCACCTCTCCCTGCAGGGTGGCGGACAGAGCACAGCCCCTCCTTCCTCCTCACCCTCACCGGGCCACCTCACCAGCCTTCCAGGCAGCACCAAAAGTGTCCCAACAAACAAACAGGCGGGTATGGTGACAGCTGAGGCTTAGAGACCTGATCGCCTGGCTCCTGGCCCACTCCCTGGCAGAGCCACAGGTGCCGGGACCTCACCCGACTGCTGAGCTGTGACGTCAGTGACCCAGCCTGAGGTGTACAGTGGGGACCACTGAGGCTCAGGCCAGGGCAGAGTTGCAGGGAGGTCATGAGGCTGAGTGGGGTCAGCATGGCAAGGGCCTGCTGTGGAGGCGGCAGTGGGGTGGCTGGGTAGGTAGGCAGGACTGTCAGGGCCACAGGGATGGGAGGAACGAATACACCTAGGAGGGTATGGGGAAGACACGAGGCTGGGCTTTGTTGGGGGCCTGGGAGGTGCTCCAGGAGGCAGACTGGTTAGAGAGTGAGAAAGGCTCAGAGAGGCCAGGGGACTGAAGATCACAGGTCCTCTTTCCCCCTAGCGGTGACGGGGCCGTGTCAAAGCTTGTTACAGAGGCTACAGATAGACCCACCCTTCACCCACACTTCTGAAGGCCCCATTCACACACCAGGGGAGCTGCGCCACGGACTCGCTGTGTCCCTGGGGCCCTAACCTGTGCCTGTTGTTTGAGAAATCCTGCACTGTACCGAGTTTGTGCACAGAGAGGCAGAAAGAGAACAGGGTCCTGGATCTGGGACGCTCTGAAAGACCCCACCCGTGTGCCCAGAATCCTAGGCCCTCAGTTCACTTAGGGTGGTCTCTCTCTGACCCCAAAGGGAAGTCAGGGAAGGTATTCGGGGACACAGAGCTCATGGCCAGAGGCCTGGGGCACGCAGCCACCACAGCCCCCGGAGGATGAAATCGGAACCCTGAGCACCCAAGGAGCCAGATTCCCCCGTGGTCCTGCCCCTGCCCAGCAAACCTCCAGAGGCTTCTGCTGAGCAGGCTGCAGGAGGCAGGAGCTGGGGTGGAGTGGGTGAGTCAGGAGGGCTGAGGGAAGTGAAAGGGGAATTGGGCAGTGGGGAAACGGAGGGGTGCTGATGTCCCCTGGGGACGGGGTGGAGAGGGCCGGCGAGGGGACACTGGGGAATCGGGGGGTCTTGGAGAGGGGTAGTGAGGGAGCTGCGGTGGTGTCAGGGTGACCAGGAGGGGCTTGGGATCTCAGGGAATCCGGCAGAGGTTTGGGGTGAAGTTCCTGGGATTTCTGGGAGCCCCACTTGAGGGGCACAGCGGCTGGGGTCAGGATGTTCACGTCCCTGAGTCAGAGGAAGGGGAGGGGGGTCCTTGGGATTTGCGGCCGAGCGCGGTGGTCGCAGGGGTCTCCGGCCCAGCTCACCTGTAGACGTCGGTCCAGAGCTGCGTGCCCAGCACGTACACCGCCTCAATGCGGCTCCCGAACTGCAGCCGCACCGTCCGCTCGCGCAGCATCTTCCCGCACCGGGCCGCCCGGCACCTGTCGCAGGTGAGTCCGTCGCAGCAGCCTTCGCCGGCTGGACCCAGCGAGCTGCCTTATCGGGCCGTCGGGGGGCGTGGCGTGGGCGTGGCATCCGCCGGGCTCCTCTCTCATTGGGTTCACGGTGGCTCCGCCCCCCGCTCCCCCCACTCCTTAGCCGAGATCGGAGCGAAGTCGCCAAGCAGGCAGTCTCGTCTTTTCCACGTTTGGCTCTATCTTTCTTTCATTCAACAAACCCCGTCTCCCCTCCAGATCCTCCCAGCTTAGTCAGAAAACTCAACGTGGGGCTGCCAGAGGGAGACAGGCGTTGGTGGGAGCGCGGGGACGTGCCCTAACCCAGTCTGGGGTCCTGGAAGCCTTGTCAGAGGGAGGGACCCCTGAGCCTTTTTCCCCCCACCCTACTGCGGACCGAGTTTAGGTCTTTTGCATTGAGCTACATTCTCAATCTTTTTTAAATTAAAAAAATTTGAGATAGGGTCTTGCTAAACAGCTAAGTGGCCCAGTGCCCAGACAGGACAACAACTTGTGATCCTCCTGCCTCAGCTTTCTAGAGTGCTTGGATTACAGATGTGTGGCACCACACCAGGCTGCCTCAGCTTTCTCGAAGGAGGTGTCTACTGATTGAGGAAGAAGAGGCAGCCTCTTGACCAAAGCCGGGAAGGAAGACATAATCGAGAGCCCTGCCCTCCTCATCAGATCCCAAATTGGGTGTGGGCTCTCAGGGGGGAAGTCAGCAGCTGATAGGGCCAGAGTGCCAGGCTGGGCGTGGGTGGGAGCCCGCCCGGTGGCTCCTGGGAGGAGGACAATGGGCCTCCCTGGCAAGGAAGGCTGTGCAGACCCTGCGGGGATCGTGAGAGGGCTGCAGAGGAGGGGATTGACCCAGTCAGTGTTTATGGGCTGAGATTTGGGTGGCACCTGGTGGCTGACGTCTGGTGCCAGTCGAGGGGACAGAGAGGGGGCAAAGACTAGGGCCTGGGTTGGCCCGAGTTGCCGAGGGGAGGGAGTGCCCTGGAGAGGTCAGTCTGTGCTCTGTGGGGGCAGAGATGTGGGGTGACATGGAGTGGGGCCTGGGCAGCCCTCCCCCACCAGCCCCCCCATCAGCCCCTTCTTCTCTGACCCAGGCCAGGGGTGGGTGAGGTGATTTGGTGTCGTGTGAGTTTGGGGACCTTCCTTGGTTGGGGACCTGGAGGGTGGGTGGGCCAAGGAGAGGCTGCTCAGGAGGGTGGTGGGGGTCCCAGGAAGGGGTGCACCTGGACAGAGCTGGGCTGGAGTATAGCTCAGTGGTAGAACATTTGCTTAGAATGTGTGAGGTCCTGGGTTTGATCCCCGTCACTGCAAATAAAAAAATAAAAAGAGATTTAAGTCATGCTGGATTCTTCCTTAATAAAAATAAAAAACAGCATGGCCAGAGCAGACGCACGCCCAGTCCCTGACTCCAACCTTCTCCCCAGGTGCCCAAATAAGAAGGTGGTGAAGAGCCCAGCTGCTTCCCAGGGTGGGATCTGGGAGGAATGTGGATGGGGAAGGGAGAGCTCAAACCGAGGCCGGGGGTCCTGATGCCCCCACCCCAGCCAGGTACCACAGCAGGCACAGGGATAGGCTGGTGACTTCTGATTGGCCCCTGGTGGCCTTGATGGGCGCATCCTCCAATCAGAGCCAATTTTGAGGCCCACAGAGGTGGCTCCGGACCAGGTACCCCTGCTCTAAGTTCCTTGTGAAGCCTTACTGTGTGTGGCAGATATTGGACACATGCCGGGGTGCTCATTTTCTGGGGGACATAGAACACTGGTTCGTTTCACCCATGGGAAACTGGGGTTCCGGGGGATGGAGGAGGACATCGCTGGTCTGCATTGAGCAAGGCAGAGCTGGGTCATGACACCATCAGGGCAGTGGTGGCCTGAGGCAAAGGGTGACTCCCAGCGAGAAATAGCAGTGGCTGCTTATGGTTCCTTGCGGTGGGCTGTCCCGGATCAGGTGGCCCTTGTCGTGTGGATTAGGATCGGGGCATTCTACCCTCCCAGCAGCCCGCACTCTGCAGATGAAGACAGAGCACAGAGAAGGTGAAGACGTAGCCTGGGTTGCACAGCTTCTGAGAGTACCACAGCAGGATGGGAACTTGCAGGCCTTTGGGCCACAGGCGGGGGCAAGGCAGAGATCCTTTCAGCCTTGACCTTGGGCAGCCCTGGGCAGGCAAGCAACCCATCTCTGAGCCCGATGCGAGGAGGGTGTTAAATGAGATGATGCTGCACAGAAATGCAGCCCCTGCTTTAGACTACACTGGCCGCCCACCCACAGGGCTGCTGCCATCTCTGGCTCGCCCTATCGGGCACGGTGCCTGGTGGATGGGCCAGGAGTTTCCTGGTGCTCAGGGGTTTAAAATAGCTGGAGCGGTCGCAGCTGTTGCCGGATTCAGGGCCGGAGGTCTCACGCACCACGGCCGCTCCCACTGCTCCCCAGGGCCTGGAAGATCCACAGGGATCACTTGGTACCTTTTTTGAGATGCCAGCAAAGGGCAGACCTAGCTCGGGCCAGTTCCTGGTGCTGGTGGGCCCACACCCCCAGCAGCCTCCACCCCTGCCAAATAGGTGCCGGAGCTCTGGGGCTGGGAGAGGGGTCTTCTGTGCTGTCTCCTGCTATGACCCTTCTCAGGGGGCTCTTGGGGCCAGGCCGGGGGAAGCCTGGGTCGGGTGGACACAGACATCCACGGCCTGCTTTGAGGACACTGGCAGCTCATCCCGTGTGCAAAGAAAGAAATTCACAGTAACGCCTGGTCAGTCGGTGAAAACTGAAAAAACACGATCACCCGGGACCCTGCAGTGAGATCATAGCAGATTCAGTCTTGCAGGGAGGTGGGGTCCATATGTCCTGAGCCTCTGGCAGCTTCCCATGTCTTAGCTCACTTTATCCACGCAAGAACCCTACGAGGTGGGTGCTGTTATCACCTTTCGTTTGCACAGAGCCATCGACCTGCCTGATGAGAGGCCTGGGGCCTCTGGACTTGGTAGACTTGTAGGGGGCTCAGGCCTGGCTCTTTCACTCATAGCTGGTGACCTCTCTGTTTCTTCCTCTGTGAAGGAGACAGGAGCCCAACCCAGGACTGTGGGAAACGGTGGAATCATGAAGTCCACTGCGCAGTGCACCACGGCCAGGCACCGGCCGAGTCTCACAGACGCATGTGGGCAGATGTTCGAAGCCAGGTAAAGGGGCTTCTGATGGTCCGTGCTGTTCTATAACATGCTTCAAAGCCTGTGCAATGTGAGAGGCAGCCTGGCCGCGTGGCCTGGGCACACAGAGCCTGGGGAGTCTGTGAAAGCCTTTCCGGCTTTGTGCTAAGGTCATGGGGAGCCATAGAAGGCCTCTGGAACAGGGAGATGGCACGAGATGCACTTAGGGTGATCGTGCTGGCTGCTGCGGGCAGCTGAGCGGAGCAGGAATTCTGGCAGGAGACAGAGTGGCCGGCAGTGGGGCCCGTGCCCTCCCCACCCGAGGGACCGTCCACCCCGCTCCACCTTGCTCGGCTCCCTCGTGTCCTCTGGCCCAGCACAGCCCACCTCCGGGTCCCAGTGCCTTGGGAGGCGTCTTTGGCCAGCTGTGAGGAGGGGCACTCGTTCCACACGTACCTGCCTCGGCCCTCCACCCTGCAGGGCATCTCCCGCGGAGGGAGGGCTGGGCGTCCGATGGCTGGGACTGCTGAGGACAGGACTCAACCCCTCTCTACTCGCACCGCCTGGGAGGGTGAGTACGAGGAGGCAGAGATGTGTTAATGCACCGGCTGCATGGCTGTGGGGTTGGAGGTCTAGACATCTGGGCAGAGAGGACGCTGCATTCTTTTCTTTGAAATTAAGAATCGCAAGACTTTCATTCTTTCTTTTGGGTACTGGGGATCGAGCTCAGAACCTTGTGCTTGAGAGGCAGGTGTGGCGCTGCTGAGAAAGCTTTATTCCTTTAAAATTACCTTTGTCACAATTTAAAATCCGAAGCCCTTTTCCTATCCAGAGGCTTCATGAATATCGGTAGAATGGCAAGTTTTTCACTTTAAAAGATCGTGTTGACAATGGCCAAAGATGATCCCTGTAGGCATTTGTCCAACCTCTGAGAAGGAGGGAGATTTTCAAGCAGCCAGTTCAGAACTTATAGCTTAAATCCCTCCACGTAACAGGGAGTGGTCAAATTTTTATGGCCCCACAAGGGACAACTGCTCCAAGATGACGTCTCTGGATGGATGTGGGGTATTCGGCTTCACCTGACTGCGAGCACATCTGCCCCGTCCCTCCTTCCGCATCCACAGCCTGTTCTCTTGTCTTGGTCACAAGGCTCGGTTGGGAACTGTTTTGGAACACAGCGCGTCACAGGGCCACGGAGAGCATTAACGCACCGAACATCGCGTAACTGCAGTTTCAGTGAAGGTAACTGATTGTCGTCCACAAACCCTCACGCCGGACCAGGCCTGCCCACCCTTGGGAGGGCAGTCTGCTTTCTTGGGCATCGACTGGGTATGTGTTAATCGCATCTGACAAGTATCCTACGCAACCACATCTAGCTGGAATCTGACTCAATGACTGGGCACCATTCAGATCAAGATGTACATTGATGCGTGTAAAATACACACAGATTTCAAAGAACTGGCAAGACAAAAGATCACTTTATTTATTTTTGCAGTGCTGGGGATGGGACCCAGAACTTTCCGCATGCTAGGCAAATGCTTTGCTACTGAGCTGTACTCCCAGCCCAAGAAAATAAAATTTTTTTTTTTTTTTTGAGAAAGGGTCTCGCTGTGTAGTTCAGGCTGGCCTTGAACTCACTAGGTAACCCAGGCCTTGAACTCATGGTGAGCCTCCTGCCTCAGCTGTTTGAATGCTGGGATTATAGGTGTGAGCCATCACACCTGTCTCTAAAATACTTTTTAAAGAATATTGATTACATGTTGACAGACTATCTCGGACATTCTGGGGGAAATAAAAATATTGCAAAATTCGTTTTACCTATTTATTTTAATTTTTAAAAAAAGATGCGGCTACTTGGAAATTTAAAGTTGCCTGTGAGGCTG